CTTATGAAGCAAATGGATCTGAACAGTGAGAAGAGGCAGACTGTAGTGTGCCGCCCAGATTCCTCCCTTCAGGACTGAAGCACTCATTTTCCAAGCTGCTGAGCATGCCTGCAGCTCTCAGATGAGTTCCCCTCTGGAAATTGCCTTTGCATGAAGTCAGTCACCTCATCCAAGGTGATACTCATTCCTGGTCAATGTCGGGGTATCTAAGTCTGGCCACTTGCCTCAATATGGTACACATGTCTGCAGAGTCGTCCTAGTTTAAGCTCCCTTTGGGGCTGACTTTTTGTTGAGACTGCATCTGTTAGCTTTCTCCCTCTACCCAATTCTGCTTCCTTCACTCCCCAACTGGTGATCCAGAAGACTCCCTCCAATAAACTTCCTGCACACAAATCTCCAACTCCATTTTGACAGGAACCTACCCGGTGATAAGCATTTAAACTTTTTTTTTAAACCTTTTTTTTCCTTCTTCTCCTCAAAGCCCCCAGTACATAGTTGTATATTCTAGTTTGAGTGCCTCTGGTTGTGCTATGTGGGACACCGCCTCAGCATGGCCTGATGAGCAGTGCCATGTCCGCGTCTGGGATCCAAACCAGCGAAACCCCGGGCCGCCGAAGCGGAGCGCGCGAACTTAACCACTCCGCCATGGGGCCAGCCCCTTTAAACTTTTTGAGATTAGCTGTGTGGAACGCTGTGCCTGATGCTCAATTTCAGAGAGCTTCATGATGGTGATGGTGGTGCTGTGGAAAGATGCTTAAATGTGTTAAATGAGCTTTCCATCTCAAGGATAGTAGGGATGGGGACCATTGAAATGGCAAATTTCAAACAATACCAGTGCTAGACTCGAGTTATGGAGTTCTGGGAAGTGTGAGGTTGGATATAATTATCAGCACAAATACTGCTAACAGACCTCTCATTAGTTGAGATGACCTCACGTGGATGAAAGTCCTTAACTGGGCTGGAGTGGGAGATGAGCTCAAATAGGATAGAAACCAATCTCTCTCAGCTTCTGGTAAGGATAGCAAAAGAGTCAATGGTCCTACCTTTACCCTATGACCTCACATTATATCTGAGTGACCCTGGTACAACCCACTCGTCAACAGTTGGTCTTTTTTCCACTAGTGGGCCTTGAACTTATACAGAACTATCTAGTTTCCTCATCTCCTATCAAGACAGTTATTCCATAATTACCTAATGAATAGCCCCGTATCTTAATCTTCATCTGGAAACCAAGGTATTTGCTTTTTCAAAATTTCAGGAGCTGGTTCAATAAACAAAAGTTCCCTTTTTCAGCTTCTTTCATGCCAGTGTCATTTTCGCCAACAATCACCCTTAGGCCTTATTTGGATCTCCTTAGAAAAGTAGAATCCAGTGTGCTTATTCATATTGATGACTTTATCAATATCCATAGTGAGAATAAGTTTTAAGACCAAAAATGTATCAGCTTGAGTAATTTGCCCATAGAAACTGTGGGAGGTAGCTTGCAAATGTTCTCTTCGTCCTTCTTTTTTAGCACCAAACCCCAGTGGTTCAAGAGGACATCCACTTGGAGGTCCTGTCCCCAGTCTACTCAAACCCAGTGAACACCACCTAAAAAGAATACAACATCTTTATTTCTTGTTGAGATACAAATGTTCAGTCTGGATGATGAGAATGAGCTAAGTACTGGAGACAATGGCTAGCTCTTCCATTTGTTCCAATGAATTCCAATGGAGGAAGAGGCTAAAGAGGATCTAGACTGTTTTGGTGTATTAATATTCAGCTTATCAAATCTACGCCCTGGTACTTCTTGAGCAGGACTGCTCCAAAAAGGCCGGATGTGGCAACAGTCGAAGACGGAGAAGGCAAATATGGAGAATTCAACATGTATATGCAGTTTAGTCCGACGTCCCCATATGCTCTCTAAAATTCCATTATGTGGTCAGAGCTGGGAGTGATATTAGGGTGCTGGCCCATCTTTGCTCCACTGAGTCTGCTCTGCTGCTTCTGAGGGAGAGTGGGTTCAGAGCGCCTGGGAGCTGCTGGCGGCCATTCCCTTGGCAGCTTGCTGGGCTAACCAGTACTTATACCTTTTGGTCTTGGGCCTCTCAAAGTTCACCACAGACATAGGTACCCTCACAGTGTCAAGCCCATTTACCTGTATACAAAACAGCGGGAATCCTCAGAGATCAGTTGGTGGGATAAGAGCTACCACCACCCAATCCCAGGTTTTCATCCAGTCAGAAGGAGACAGTCTATGACACACTCACCGTCACCTCACACCAGTACTCGCCCCACCGTGTAATGGGCTCTTCTGGTAACTTTAATGCATGTGGGGCAACCACAACACCAAGCTGGAAAAAATCACAGTCAAAAGGAGCTGTTTACATGGCTACAACACTAGGCAACCTGATAAAGAGGGTTCTAAAATTTCCTGTACAGGGATGAATAAAATTGGGGAGTTTCTGCTGGCTGATCCTATGGGAGGGCACAGATCTCCACAGATAGTGGCAAAGAAATTCAGTCCTAATTTCTTAGAAATGGAAGTTGATTCACAAAGAGAAACAGGACTTGAGACCAAAATCACTTCATCTTTTTTTACAAAATTTTTTACAATTTTTACAAAAGTAAAAATTCTCAATGAGTCACATTTCCCCAGGTTTTCCCTAGCTAGAGAGGAAAGAAATGATACCACCATCTTTTCCTATGAGTCTTCAAATTCTATGTGACCACCCTTAGTCCTCAGGCATTTCCCTCTCATACCCCTGCAAATCAACCAAGAACACTTGCCCTAAGCCCAGCTGGACGACTGCACCCTTTCCTAACACAGGGATCAATCCTGGGCCTCCTTCCCAGGCGTAGCTTCTACCCTCAGGGGTATAGTGGTGTTTGGGAACACTCACATTTTTGAAGAAGTGGCGGGCAACTATTTCAGGATTTAGCTCCCATTTGACATTGTTCTTCATCCCCACCTCCAGGTGACAGCTTCTCAGAAATTTCACTGTCTGAGAGGAATTATAAACAAGGGACAGGTTAGAGTTGGAATCGAAGGAGAGGAAACATGTTAGCAAGAGGCGCAAGGTCTGAGAGTTCAAGAGAAGGGCACAATTTCTGCCTCACAATCAAGACAGGTGAGAAGATGAATGAGAAAGATAGAACATTCTTATTGTCTCAAGGCTGATATTGTGAAAAGGTGTTTTAGTGATACTTTGGCGGGTAATGTCACCTACACCTGGCTGTTCCTATCCAACGAGAAACAGGCCATGTCAAAGTCAGGCTTATCAGTGGGGGCCACTGGTATATCTCAGGATAGAATAACTTTCATAGAGCCTTTTAATCCAGTACTTCCAGCCCTTCAGTCCCACCTCTACCCTTTAACGATTCCTCTCTGCTTACAGAATGAAGTATAAACTCATTAGCTGAGAATTCAAGATGTTTTGTAAATCTTGCCCCAACCCTCTTTCCAGCCATACAGTTCCTAATTTTACACTATGTCAGTCCTCTGCTTTAACTAGATTGGTCTGCTTTCTGTGTTAAAACATGCTTTAACTAACTACTTACACTTTTTCTCCTTAAGAATACCTTTCCCACCTTCCCGGCCTAACCAAAGCCTACTAATCCCACGAGGCCTAATTCAATCCCATCTGAAAAAAAGCCCTCCCCAATTACGCTAATCAGTTTTGATCCATGTCATTCTTATAACCTACTGCCTTAATCTCACCAATTACTTTCTCATGTGTCTATGTTCTCTCCTACTTTTCTGTAAATATCCCTGGAGGCAGATCCCTCATCTCACACCTTTCCACCAGTCCCTTGGTGCCCAGGCTGGGGCTTCTCACTAAGATAGGGCACTTCACTCAACAGGTCAGAATCTCCGAGGTGTCAATATCAGTTTCGGCAGCCACAGCGCTTCCCCTTTCCCCTACTGTTGTGTCTGCAATCAGGAGACTTCAAGGAAATCAAGGAGCCTCTCAGGAAGAGATTGGTGACTCCTGTAGGTGACCAATAAATGAAGACTTTTTATGGTTCAACTCACCGCCTCACCTGCCTTGGTCTGGATCTTCTCTAATTTCCCTTCTTGTCTTAGCTAGAAGAGAAAGTTAAAGATGAAAAAAAGTAAAAGAAATATGAGCCCATGATAAATACCAAACTTTTACTATGCTCTTACTATTGCTGTTCTAGTCCCTATTTCATTTTTAAATTAAATATCAAAGGGAAGGAAGTTGCTAGAGGAAATCTTAAGGTTTTATTCCTCCAAGTCCCAGAGCCGTCCTTTGAGCTCACCAATTTCTCCTCTTCAAATAGCTTCCTGTTTTCAGGGGATGCATACACAGCCAGTCCTTGAGGAAGCAGTTGATTACGGCCCACAGATTTCTTCACTGAGACCAGGTCACCCCGAACTCCAAGTCCTGCCAATGAGAACACAGACCCTGGGTCAGCACTATCCAGGAGTCCCTACATAGAAGGAGATAATCAAAGAAAGAAGCACCTCTTATTCTCACAGCGTTTATTCTTCCCAGAAAAAAATGGTAATTAATATTCACTAAGAACAACACTTATGAGACTTCTAATTAGTTTCTGTAGGGCCTGATTTAGAAACAATATTCCCCGTACAAAGTGAGGAGTTGACCCATCAGAGGATTTCAGTATCTGTGGCACATACTGTCAGGCGTCTCTCCCCACACACTGTTAATGATGTCGCTGCATTCGTGTTCCATTTTCCATGTATGAAACCAATATCACAATCTCAGTGCTTTTTATGGCTTCCTCTTCTCAAATATACAGCTGAGACCATTTCCACAAAGTAGAGAAAGAACGGCAAACAACAGAGGCCAAGGGCAGGAAAAAGTTGATGGCAAACAGGGCCAGCCTTTGCCCAAGCTTACCTTCCACTGACTGCGTGAGGATGAGCTCCAGGTTGTCTTTGGGCCGGTGTTTCGTGTCCTCCACCAGCTTGTAGACGCGGTGTCGCCGGTGCAGGTGCGGATTCCGGCCCTCTCCGGCCAGCGGCACCTTCCACCAGCGCTCCACGATGACCGTGCCCTGGCGGCCGGGGGGCCAGAGTGAGCGAGTCTCCACGGGCAACTCCCCCTCCCCCGGCCGCCAGCACCTCAAGGAAAGCCTGTCACTCGCAGCCCGGGGCCCCACCAGGTCTCAACGCGCCCCCTAAAACTATACTCGGGCCTAAACGGCCCCACTCGAGTTCAAGGACCCCCGTAACTCAGAACCGGCCCTCACCCGATTGGAAGAAAGGCTGAAGTCGCGCTCTGGGCCGGGGGTGCCCCCTTCAAGTGGCGGCCGGAGTAGGTCCTGGACTCCTCCTCGCAGCAGCCGCTTGGCGCCGGCCCGCAGCAGGGCTCTGCTCGGAGCAGCGACGGCCGCCGCCATGTTCCCGGGCGCGGAGGAGAGCAGACGGAGGCCCCCGGCGCCGAGCGGCAGGAAAGGCCCCCACCGGGTGCCCGCGGCGCGCCTGAGGCGACGCGGCTTTGTCCAGGCTGAGCTGCGGGGCGGGCTGGAGTGCGGCTTCGCCGGGTTCTCCCGCGGGAGGTGGAAGGTCCCAGTTACCGCTCCGTGATTCAGCTTTTTCCCTCACTCCCTTCTCCCTATTGTTTTTTCAGGGGAGGCACGCCCGTAGTTATTGACAGCCGCATGAACGTTAGATGGACTGACACGGAAAAGACACTATCTTCCTCTTGGCTTCGCTTTATCTTTAAAATGGGGGCTCTGGTTTAGCTCTAGTAGCTCGCTGAGGTCACTTCCAATTCTGACATTGTATAACTGGATACTGAGGGAAGAGGGATATTGCTCTCACTTTTCCTACTTCAACTCTGCCTACAAGTGGTAGAAGGATGTGAGCCTCTGGAAAACTATGCCAACCCCAGGTGGAGTCTAACCCTTGATCTTTACAACGGCAGTATTTAAGCTAACATTTAAAGAATTCTAAATCATAAGGGAGATATACCATAGAAAAAGGAAACGATGGTAGGGCCCGGATGGTTCCCTCTGTGGAGGGTCTCACTACTGAAGAGAACACCATATAAATGGAATGAATAGGGTCCGTTTGGCGGAGGAGATTATGTAAGGATGCTCTAGCATCCTGTTATTTGACCCATAGACAGCCCTTGACCAGTCGTCCCTCCTCTTAGCTACACTTTCTTTACTTAGCTTGCAGGACACCAGTTTTGTTTTTGTTTTCTTCTTACTTCACCAGTTTTCTTCACACTCTGCTGAGTTGTTTTCTCCCCACTTCTTTGAGTGCCCCCAGGACTCCGTCTTTGGATCTTTACTCTTCTCAGTATACAGTCTTGATGATCTCCTTCAGTCTCCTGGCTTAAAGTACTGTTTATATACCAACAAATTCCAAATTTCTCTCTCCATCCTAGACTTCTTCTAAACTCCAGACTTGAATATCCAACTGCTTATTCATCATCTTCCCCTTATATGTCTAATGGACAATTCAAAGTTAACACGCTCCAAACTAAACGGATCTCTATCCCCCTGCTCCAAACTGCCTCACCTGCAGCCTTCCCCATCACAGTTGATGGAAACTCCAGTCTTTCAGTTCTTGGACTCAACTTCTTTCTTTCATACTCCAGTAAATCCTGTAGGTTCTACGTTTAAACTGTTTCCAGAATCCAGCCACTTCCCACCACTTCCAATGCTTCACCCTGGAATAAGACACTCTTTCCTCCAGATTACTGCCAGTCCCCTAGCAAATCTCCCTAATGCTCTACAGTTTATTTACAACAGTCAGAATCTTTTAAAAAACATAAGTCAGATCATGTCACTTTTCCACCTGAAACTTTGCAATGACTTCCCTCTTTACTCAAAGAAAAAGGCTGTACAGTGGTCTACAAGGCCCTATATAAAATCTGGCCCATTAGCTCTTTGACTTCATCTCCTTCTACTCTCCCTATAGCTTACACTGCTCCACCCACAGTGGCTTCCTTGCTGTTTCTTGAAAACACCAGGCACTTTCTCCTTAGGGCTTTTGAACTGGCTGTTGCTTAGGCATGGAATGCTTACCTCCAAATGTTGGCTTGGCTAACTACCTCACCTCCTCAAGTCTTTGATTAAATGTCACCTTTTCAATGAGGCCTTCTTGGATCACCCTATTTAAAACTCTACAACCTGCCACACCTCCATCACACTCCTGATCTTCCTTTATTCTTGCTTTTTCTCCATAGCAGTTCTCGTCTTCTAACATACTAAATAATTTTTCATGTTTATTGTTTAGATTTGTTCTCTCACTATTAGAAGATAAGTTCCATTGAGCAGTGATCTTTGTTTTGTTTATGAATGTATCTCAAGCACTTAGAATAGTGCCTGGCTCATAGTAGGCCCTCAATAAATATTTGTCGAATGGATGAATGAATATGCAGAGGTCTCAAACTGGTGGCCCCAGAATCAAATTTTGCTCATAATGTTAATTTTTCTTTTTGCCGAGGAAGATGTGCCCTGAGCTAACATCTGTTACCAGTCTTCCTCATTTTTTGTCTGAGGATTAGTCCTGAGCTAACGTCTGTGCTAATCTTCTATTTTGTATGTGGGTCACTGTCACAGCATGGGCTAACAAGTGGTGTAGGTCCATGCTGGGGATCCAAACCCATGAACCTGGGCCACTGAAGTGGAGTACACCAAACTTAACCATTATGCCATCGGGCTGACCCCAATGTTATTTTTTTTAATCAACAGTTTTTATTTTTTGGTGAGGAAGATTGCTGCTGAGCTAACATTTGTTGCCAGTCTTCCTCTTTTTGCTTGAGGAAGATTGTTGCTGAGCTAATGTCTGTGCCAATCTTCCTCTATTTTGTATGTGGGACGCTGCCCACAGCATGGCTTAATGAGTGGTGTGTAGGTCTGTGCCTGGGATCTGAACCCATGAGCCCCGAGCTGCAGAAGCAGAGTGAGCAAACTTAACCACTACGCCACTAGGCCAGCTCCAGGTATTTTTTTTAGTAGCCAATATTTTAAAAAATTTGGAGAAATTTACCACAAAAATCTCTTTCCAGTTTCTGTTGAAAAATCCTATGATCTGGTACCACTGAATCTGCATTCTTGCAACTGGATGGAGCTGAGTTGCGTCAGCTTCTTTTGGACAAAGTGTGAGCTTTCCAGTTTGCTAGAGCCCCACCGAGCAGCTCCACTAATTTCCATTATCTGTCTGGGCCCCCGGAGGCATTTAGTTCGCAATTCCTACCCTACAAGGCAATGAGAAAGTTCAACAATGTGTAGCACCCCTGGATTGTTAAAGGTAGGGATGATAATAAAAATATTGAACTGATAGGAACTAGGAACCAACCAATCAGGTCAGACGCTGGATCAGGATCTTGGAAGCCTCCTGCAGTGTCAGACACTAACCATTTAGTTACTGAAGTGGGGTGGGGGTGTGTGTGTGTGTGTGCACGTGCCAGAGGTGGGGGCCAGGTTGGGCATGCACAAGTGCTCAGGCAGGGCTGTTTATCAACCAGTACAGACGCTAAAGTATTTTAACCACTGGTACAGCCATGAGGTACATACTACTTTACTAGGAGCCTTGGTTAAGGGGGTAGGGTGGGGCAGCGGAGCAGCAGAGTCCTGAAGTGACATAAGGGCTGACCACGTGTCTTTGTCATAATGCCCACCGGGTCACAATGGCACTAGGTTGCCTGAACCTCTGCCACCCACCTCTGAACCTCACTTTGCCGCAGGGGGGCACTGAACTGAGAAACTGCCTTGTTACAGGTGTCGCCCCTCTGTCTACTCCCTTTCTTACATCAAGAGGGGAAAAACACGGAACTACCTCTACCCGATCTGGTCACCATACGCCTATTACCTTTACTGTTACAAATACCGGATCACCCTCCGGGAGAAGATGATGCCTTGTTATAAAAGGTAATTATTTTCTTGTTGTAGTTGTTTATATAAACCATAAGGAAAAATAAAAGAATTTGAAAGAACTTCTCAAGTGGCAAGAGATGATAATAGCAAAATAAGGTGGAAGGCTGGCATGGAACTTTAGAATTTTTCCATCTGGCTGGCCTGGGAAAATGGAAACAGGCTAGTCCACGGAGGATACAGAAGAGAGTGCCAGAGCCTTGTCCCATGCACCTGGAAGTTATGAACCTCTTCCCATCTCAGACTCAGAGAGAAACTAACTTGGGTCTCTTTTTCCCAACCAGCATCACTTATAAGGAACAGGAGGACTTGACACTCCGGCCCCGTTCCTGCCTTCAGTGCTCCTGAGTCCCTAGCAGGCCTCCAGGTGGGCAGAAGCACCGAGCAGGGTGATCACAACCAGCTTAAAGAACTGTATTCGGTAAGTGGACTGTGAGCTGGTGTTGTGACAGGGGAGCTCCCTGCTTGCTGTAACACCACCTTACAGAGAAGGGACATTAGCTAGTCAGAAAATAAATCATAGAAAGTGAGAGTTAGATGAGACCTTGGAGCTCGTGTAAAAGCTACTTGCTTTATAGACAAGGATTCTGGCCCCAAGATCTTAAGTCAAGGTCATAGAGTTAGTGGTGAAAGCAGGAAGGAATTGGGAATAAAGATAGAGCAGACTGTATTAAGACTTCTGGGACATTAAGTTGTTTAGAAGCTAAGCTGGGACCAGAACCCAGAACTCCCAAACTTGCCCTGGTATCATATTGCAATAGCATTCCTGTGTGTGACCTCTGCATTTTAAAAGAGAAATGGGAGAATTTAGAGAAAACCCATAGGATGGAAAAAAGCGCAAGAGTATATCAGTGAGACAGTAAATAGATGGCACAGCTTTGTTTAAAGAGTAAGCTCTCTGATGTAAACCTAAGTTTCTGAAGGGTTAGTGAATCCCTGAGGTGAGGTTAGTAGGCAGTAAAACTGCATTGACTCCACATTCCAGATTGTTTGATATCAAGAACTCCATGATAGGGATGGAGTTAGGTCCTAGGACTGAGAGAGAGTGTTGAGTAAGACTTATGGCCCCAGTTCTCCTAGGCTCCCCATCAGCTCCCTCCTTGCTTCCAGACTCACCGAAATTGGCCTGAGATCTGATTTGAGGACTAGATGAGCACAGAAGCAGGAGACTATTACTCTCATTTTCACTCCTTTTCCAGGCTGGGAACCTGACGGTGCTGGCTACTGACCCCCTGCTCCACCAGGCCCCAGTGCAGTTAGACTTCCACTTCCGCCTCTCCCCCCAGACCTCTGCCCATTGGCACGGCCTTCTCTGTGACCATCGGCTCTTCCTGGATATCCCATATCGGGCCTTGGATCAAGGGAACCGGGAAAGGTGACAGCCTGGATGGGACAGTGGGGAGGGAAGAGGTAGGGGATTTCACTTTTATGTCATAACCAGGTAGTGGGTATGCTAACCAGTGAGGGCTGATTGAGGTGCCGGATACATTCAAACCACTGAACTGAGCTGCGGATCAGGGGTTCAAGGGATACCAGCCCGTGGGAGGTTGCTGACTCAGGTTCAGAAACATAAGTGAGGATCCATAGTTAAATAATAGGAACTGTTCTCCAGCAGTTTGTCTTTACAGGGCAGTCCCTGCTCCCCAGACCCTTCCATGCCATGGGTTAGTCCAGTAGCATGCAATCCCTTGGCTTCTAAGAAAAATCTATCAAAAGTAGTTTAACAACTTTCATTTCCTGGCTTGGGTCAGGAAAAAATGAGCAATAAGATTTCTTCCTCTCCAAGTAGGCATCTTTTTGGATTCTCAGTTCGCTAAACATTTCATTAACGGTGATTTTTCTCTATGGCCCCTAGTTTGACTGCAACACTGGAGTATGTGGAGGAGAAGACCAGTGTGAACTCCGTGTTTGTAAACTTCCAAAATGACCGCAATGACAGAGGTAGAGATCTGCTCTGTCTTTCCCAGCTCTTGGTGCTGAAGCAGCGACAGCAACTTTTCCTTTGTAGGAAATCCTCTTCTCCCCACTCTTTAAAAAAGGGCATGCTCAGGCATTTTAGGAAATCAACACCCCCTCCCCCCAAGGAAATTAAGGCACCTAGCATTCTGTTCATTCAAGTTATGAGTGGACTATCAAGAAGACCCTATGGGTAGATTCCAGAAACCACACTAAAGGAACACTGGTGAAATTGCACAGAATCCAAAGGGACGTGGCTGGTAGGACAGAGAGATCTCAAGGTGAAAGTGTCAGGCAGAAGGCCAGGAGGGTAGGAATATGTTTAACCAGGTGCTTGGAGCATGTTGCAGAAACTACCTCTTCCATCAAGGAGTTTATACTCTGTTGGAAATAAGACAGAAGGCAGTAGAGTTTACTATACCACTCTCATGCTAGGTACTTCATAAACATCATCTCGTTTAATCTTAAATTCTGTGAGGAAAGTTTTATGATCGCCATTTTACAAATGAGGAAACCGAAGTTCAGAAGGATTCACTGGTAGACTGTTACAAAGCTAAGTAAATGTTAAAACCAGGGCTAGAGTCTAGATCTGTTCAACTCCAAAACCCATCATCCTAATGCCTGTCCTACACTGCTTCCCCCACAGCCATTCCCTAGTGGAAGAGTCGTATTGAACTTCAGAGTGTTTTAATTCATTCTCTCCTTTCACAGGTGCCCTACTTCGGGCCTTCAGCTACATGGGCTTTGAGGTGGTCAGACCAGATCACCCTGCCCTTCCTCCCTGGGACAATGTCATCTTTATGGTGTATCCCCTTGAAAGGGACCTTGGTCACCTGCCCAGTGAGCATGCCTGAACGTGCTTCTGTCTACTCTGTGAGGGGCTGGGAGCCTTGATAAACGGGACCCAGGATGTGACTCAGGACACCTTCTTCCATCTTAGGAATAAAGGGTAGTGCAATCCTCAAGTGTTCAGTTTCTTGGGGGGAAGGTGGGGGTGACTGGAGTGGAACATGAGCCTTACAGAGCTGAATTCACTGTGGGATAAACATTTAATGACTGAAAAGATCAGAGGGAACTGAACGAGAGAGGGAAGGGACCCAATGATTTTAGGCTCCTTTTGCCTAACTCCCCCAAACCCCAAAGCCATTTACCCACTTATTCTAACCATTTACTTAGCACCTGCCAGGAACAAGAACCAAGTACTAGGGAATTCACAAAGACTTAAGCCTTGTTAGGAGAGTTTCATCCATATATTTCAGTTCAGATTGGAGACAAATGCTAATTCCTTCTCTTTGGACGTGGAGGAAATCAGACCAGGTACATGGAGCTTTGGGCTCAAGGGGAGGATTTCAACCAACAAAATAAAAAATAGGAAGCATAGAAGAGGACATTCCAGGCAGCGGAAAAAGCAGGGTTCTACTGGAGGAATAAGGAATCCATGAGAATGGCATGTAAACTCACAAGACTTAAAGGCCATATCAAAGGAACAGACTTTGATACACAGTAACTGCAGCTAGCAATGAAACTACTCATTTTCCAGAGCAATAAGTCCTATGAATGATTTCTCTCAGGAGCTCTCTTAAGAGTAAAGCCTGAGGAGCCGAAGAAACGGGGGACTAACTGGCCTCCTGACCCTGTTGTGGAGTAGCTCCAATTCCAGGGCTAAGCTTGCTTCAGTGAGTTCACTGCAGCCAAGGTCTGAAATGTCCAGTCAACGGCAGCCCTTCACTGATTGCACTGGAGCCTTTCTGTTAATTGGTACTGTGATTTTTCTGAGAAAATATAGTTTTGAAAATTGTGGCTATGGGAAAATATAGTTGCCATGTAGTCTATGGGCACACCTCACTAATTCCTAGATGTAAAAAATCATGCATAAGGCATCCTTTGTGCTAGTTTTAAGTTTTCCAGTTTACCTTACTTATCCTTTAAAAAAAATGTTGATTTGTCATTATTCTACCACCTACATTATACATTTTTATTTAAAGTACCTTCACAGTTCTCAATGGATCCTAACAATAGTCAGAAATGGAGAGATGCCATAAGAAAACAAGCTCCCTAGGTCTTACAAGTTTAGAGTGGAGATATAATCCTAGAACTCAGGTTTCTAGAATCATAATCCAGGCCTTTTCTTCCAAATAGTTTAGGTAGGGTCTTAATTTACAAAGCCTAAACCTAAACTGGTTCTGGTTCTTAGTGAATGGTTGATTCTGAAGTTTGGGGAAAGAATATGATGTGTGCATAGGAATGACACCTGTTTTCGAGGGGCCCCTCTACATGAGGTGCTTGACAAAAAAGATATCGATAGGCTTGCTTTCACCTTGTGATTCAACCAACATTTAGTTTTCTTGAGAACTTTATTCAGCAAAGAATCCCTCAAATGATTTAAACAGCTATCTATGTCCTCTCTCTCTCTTTATGGATGTGTGTGTGTATATATGATACTATACTAGCAATTCAGAATATTTCCTGAGCTGCTCTCTCCTTGTCTACTTGTATTTTAACCAAAGTTTACAGGGAAATAGCTGGAGCACTGTTTCAAAAAAACCTGTCTCCAATAACATACCAGCGGCTGAGGCTGGGAGGCAGTATTCTCTTCTTTCTGAGGCTTTTTAATATAATTATGCTGAGTTTTGCCTTTGCCTCCTGACTCAACTATAGTCTTTGAGTTCACCACTCAAAAGCTTCCCTTAACCAGAGTCACCTGATGAGGTGAGTCAGAAGTCTGCAGAATCATCACTTCCAACGACCAAACCCTGGCTGTTTCCTAGCCTCAAGGAGGACACAGTCTAGCAGTAATGTGCATTATGACCAGCAGAGGGGAACAAGCCAGATGTTGAGCAGCCTGGAAGTAATGCAGCAGTATTCAAACACTGGAAGGGGGATGAGGAGGTGGGGCAGGGACATATATTTGTCTCCCCTCTACCCCACACACTTTCTGGTAGTTCAGCAGAAGGAGAAAATGCACTTGGTTCACAGCAAGACAGATTGTGTGTGTAATGAAGGAAGGACTGCAAAGACCTCATCATCACAGGCTCCTCTCTCCAGGCACCAAATCCTGCCAGACACAAAAACACATAAAGCTTGAAAGAGCTCAATCTGAGAGCAAGTTAAGCTGCAGGAAAGCAGCTGCAGAGACGTAGTATTAAGATAGGCTATGGAGAAAAGAATAAAGCAAGGCCCCTGTTGTCACCCTCATTACTTGACGGTTGCTACAGATAGTTCCACTCACACAGCAAAGCAGACGGCTGAGGCAGCTGAAGCCAACTTCAGAGTAAGTAGTCATCTTCAAGGTTATCATCACCAGATATAGAGGCAGCTTCTACTTAGCAGAAATGAAGAGAAAGTTAAGACACTGCCCTAATCTGGCAGGCACGGCTAGTGAAACTCAGGGGGAAGATGGGCTTCTTGGTGCTCAATGACCACCTTGGTTAACAGCCAAGCCTTAACAACCTCCCTAGTCTGGAGAGACTGACTGAGAAATGGTAACTTCCAAAGACGCTCTAGGGAGGAAGTGCTGTTTGTACCTGATAAGCTGAGACAGGACAGGGTATTTGCTATCTCTCCAGGGCTCTTCTTGGTCTCAGTGAACATGCTGCTAAGAGAGATATCCATGTCTGTGGCCTGAGGGGATGAAAACAAGAGAAAAAGGAAGAATGTGTTGGCTGGTGGCTGGTGGGAAAGAAGCAGCCGCTCTATCATTTTTCTCACAGGATCTGGTTAAAGTAGTTGAATTTAGCTGCTGAGAGGGACACAATGCCTCCTTTGATGGACTAGTGGAGTAATTCACTTAGGAAAGCTCTCTACAAATGTATGCATGACTAGAAGCCCTCGTGTCTCATAAGGCACCAGATTTGCCCCAAAGAAGCACCCTAAATGACTACAACAGTTCACTCACCATATCTTGCAATGTGTTTGGGACTGCTCTGTTTTCTTCCATGTCTTCAGGAAGCTCAACTGCGTATCCTTTACGAACTAATTCTAACCCAATATCAAGTTTCTGAGAAGAAAAATGAAAAGGGAATGATGTTCTCTCTGTAACAAAGACAAATGTGAGGGAATAGGGCTGAAGAGCTAGGACTAATACTTTTTTTGCACTGAGGAAGATTCACCCTGAGTTAACATCTGTTGCCAATCTTCCTCTTTTTGCTTGAGGAAGATTAGCCCTGAGCTAACATCTGTTGCCAATCTTCCTCTATTTTGTGTGTGGGTCACCACTACAGCATGGCCGCCAACGAGTGGTGTAGGTCCATGCATGGGAACCAAACCTGGGCTGCCGAAACAGAGCATGCTGAACTTAACCACTAGGCCACTGGGCCAGCCCCTAGGACTGATACTTTAAAGACATTCCTTAGGTAGGAGGGTAAGCGGGATCTTACAAGGAAGGAATAATATAAGAGTTTCTGGTAAAGAAAAAGTAAACAAGGCTATAAATATCCTGAAGAGATAGTGAGCAATGAGTGAACCCCAATCTTACCTTCCCATTGCTAGTATCATATAAGTATATCTTGGGCCAAGTTGCGATTCCAGTCTGGACATAGCTAGAGATCTTGGCCACCAGAGGCTTCCAGTCAGCACAGTGAGTGAGTCTATCAAACTCATCCAAAGCTTCCTCTTCCCATTGTTCACCTGGCAATATCGTACAGAGAGCCTAAGATGAGGTCAGTGCTGACAAGGGTGGGATTATGCCCTGGGAAGTAGAACTATCTCCTTTTATTCCAGAAGGCATCTATGTCTGACTGCCAGGCAAGTTTCTGGCTGGCGTTCTCTAGCGCTGGTGAGGAAAAGACAACTGAGCACCCAGAGCTCAAAAAGCCCAGGAAAATGAGAATTCCTCCCATGTGCCACATGAGTTATTCTATTTGGAAGCAAGGTCAATAGGCAATGTGACCAATTTACCTGAGGGGGCAATCCGTGCCAGGCTACACTCTATTGCTTGAAATGGAAGGCTTAGGAAGTCACTCCTAAAGTGAAAGAAATTGAAATTAGAATCCCAGTGCCAAAAGGGCCTTCTCATCTTCCTTGCTCTAGACAGCACCAATTAACCCAGCGGGAGAAGATAATCCTCTGCTCTCTGTAAACAGGTTCTCTTCCAAATCTCCCTGGCTTATAGCTCACCACCCTATGACCAGGGCGGAGTCAATAGCTGGGCCTTCAGCCTGACTCCAACCTGGCCTCGGCACTGACCTGAGTGCCCTGAGGTCCCTCAGTGGGCAATCTCCATTATCTCCAAAGTCAACAAAGTAGAGGTCCAGGTTCCCATTCTCTAAGGTGCCAAGGACCCGGGCTCGATACCAGGAACCATTTGTAGGTAGAGGTGCTGCTACAATGTCTCCTACATGCACAGCCAAGTCTTCAGGCTACATATGGGGATAAGGATCAGGATGGGGGAGTGTTAGGAAAGGTTAGGCTAAAAAGAAAAAGATAAATAGGGAATACCAGAAGGAAGAAAGTAGTTGCTCCACAGGAAGAGAGGAGAAAATATCACAATGAAAGAGAGAGACCAGACCCCCTTTTCATCAAACTCCGGCTTTGTCCCTATGGTAACTTACCAGACTGTTCTCATAGTGCTGAGTCATCTCACTGACAAGTTTATCCAATTGCAGGCTCCGGGAGCCAATGATCTGGATCCAGAAGTGATTAGGATGCTCAGAGGCAGAGACATAGACTTCTAGGAACTCATCAGCATGGAAACTGAAGTCAGGACTGGGGACTAAACACAGGGATAAGCAAGTTAAACTGAGAATCATCAGCATCTAATATGGTGACCATATCAGAATCATCTCTGATTGAGGTAGGGAGATCACACAATGAGGGTGAGAGGTACAAATACCAAGTGGCTATTATCATTTAAAAAATGGCTGGAGGGACAACTGGATGAATTACACAAGAGTATCCTGAAGAAAGGTACTAAGCTATGTTCTGCAGCTTTCTATGTAAGTAATGAGTTTACATTCTTAGTCATCTGCCATATTCAAATCAGTCACCAATTATAAAGAAGGTAAATCCTCCACATCCTAGCTGCAGCATGGACCAGTGAAAAGGTACATGGACAGATGTGGGCCCATTCCAGATCCCATTCTACCACTGACTCATTATGTGACCTTGGACAACTCTGTAAACCTCTTATGGGCTCTAGGCTTCTCTGCCTATCCCAGTCCCTATGCATAGAAGGGAAAGCTCATAGCCTTTTCATTCTTGAACAGTAGTGCTTTTTAAAAACAGTAATGAGACAGGCCAAAAAAAAAAAATCAAGCTGAGTATTTTACTTGTTTAATAAGTATGTTTGGGAAAAAAATATCATGTAAATTCGATTATTTGATGTATTACTCATAGACTAGTTTTCTGTGAACTAGCATATTTCTATATCACTCTCTATCATTAGCTGGTTTGTATTCAGAAAAATACTGTTTAGTATTAATCCAGGTAAAATATTACCAGAAAGGCATATCTGTGATGACAGACTTGTAAATGTAGTCAGGAAAATAGAAATTATTTTTTATTGCTTCCTACTTTGAGTTATCCAAGGCAGTATTTCTGTCTTCCATATGGCTAACTGGTTCCCTCTTTGTTACGTACTTTCAAACATGGATGTCTCTGGACTGGTCTGGGCTCCAGACTTCTGAAAGCTGTCATCATTAGGTTTCTCCCAGGAACCTTCTTTTGGCCCTACAACAGCCATGTCGCCACCTCCTTTGCGGGGAGGAACTGCCAGTGGTGCAGCCGGCTCCATGCCAGTACCAGCATTTTTCCATAAAGTGGGCTCTCCAGCTCCACTAGGCTCTGTCACTTCCTCTCTTCTTACACTGATTGGCTGCTTGCGTGGGACTCTGGCTTCTGCAGAATGAGCAATTCTCTTCCGAAGTTCTTCATCTTCGGAAACTTTCTCCAGTATCAAATGCTGTGGAAAATAAGAGAAGGGATGATATCTGTGTGGCCAGATATTTTGACCCAAGATGGAATAAAGGGTTTTTCTCATTCTTAAATACGATTCAAGTCTATCACGGCTACTTGCCTTGGCTGTTGCCACTTCCTTCTGTGTTCCTGAGATTTTTATAAGCCTTGATAGTAGCAACGTCCCCTCTGATTCTTTGTCACAGGTAATTTTGGCTCCAGAGGCCTTACAGATAGAACGAATCGTCTCACCGCCTCTCCCTGCATTGAACAATACATCAAAACCTGTCCTAGTCAATCTTAACTACTAGAGAAATCACTATTTTGTATATACTGGGAGAGGAGAGTCAGTTTTTATTCCCAAACTGAACAGAATATAGGATATTGAATGGTAAGCGGGGGCTACTGCAAGCCTTACCGTAAGAAGAATACTGGATTATCTGCTCTTTCCATTTTATTTAAACTCCACACATTGGCCAGGTTAACTTCCTCATGTTGTTTCCATTTTTTACCACTTAGCATACTTTACATACTCACTTCATTAGAAGATATCCTACATGATGTGTGCAACACTGGACCAAGCACAGGACATTTCTCTGCCGCTAACAGCTCTATGGGAAAGCATAATTGGTGCTCTCTAAAGCACTGTCTTGAAAGATCTGGGATAACATAAGCAAGCTTTGCTTCCCTTTAAAAATCTATTATGAGGTAAATACTTTACCTGAACCTTTCTGGAATTTACTTGTAAGGTTCAGATCATACAACTTGTGAGGTAATGCGTTTGCTTTACCACCGGTTCTGTAAAGAAGTAAAGCTCTGGTCTCAATGTCCCTGTCTTTTTTTTCTCAGCCAGGTGAAGGGGAAGTAGGCCAGGAAAAACCCTTGGGACGGTGTGAAAAGAAAGGCAAAGGTAGAGAAACAAGCAAACAGGAGAGGAAGCTGTCCAGTGGTACCTATGATTCTGCCCACAGATCTCTGGGGAACTGAGAGCTGCTCAGACACGGGGGTATTCTCTGTCAGGATCTGATGGATTGCTGCTTTGGCCTTGCACACCTGAACAGGAAAACCACTGATAAGCAGCACCCGCTCCTCGCCTACATCCTCTGTGTCCACATCAATCCGAGCACCTGTCTGTTTCCGCAGCTGCAGAGAAAAGGACACATGGCAGTATGCTTTGTGAGAGCTCCCATCTGGGTCAGCTAGGAGCACTCTAAACCTAATCCTGGAGGTAGACAGAACTGGACACAATAGCAGCTAAATCAGGATGTTATAAGCAGTCCTCAATTACTTGTTCTTATGGAAGGAAATTAGTAACAAAGGTAACCCCAAATACCAGTTAATTAAAAACAGTTTCTCTGTGTTTAGAACCTTCTTTCCTCCCCCCCCCCCCCCCAATTTTATTTGGGTCAGAGAATCAAGTATTTTTTCTTGACATTCCAAGTGAACAACGGAAGATGTATGAAGAACCAGGCAGCAATATTTACTGTCAACTAATGAGAGTTCGTTAATTTCATAGTAGAGAAGAATGGTTCAAGCTATACCAAGCTGAGAACCACCCAATCAAAAATCCTCATTTCAAGCTAAGTCATCCGTTCTCTAGGGAATAGAAGTACTCATCTCTAAAAGGAAAATAGCATAGTTAGCTAAAAAGTTCCTATATTTTTTCTCCTAAAAATATACACAGTGTGGGTGGCTTTTGTGGGATGGGGCAGAGGAGGAAAACAAGAAGGCAGGAAGTAGAATCAATCCCTGAGAAAGCCAACTGCCTGCTTGCACACTTACTTGTTTAATATTGGCTCCTTGCCGGCCAATGATGAGTTTCACAGCCTCCTGGGGAACTCGCATCTCTATCTCGATGTCGTCCTCCCCAACAAACGTCAGCCGTTCTTCTGCACAGACCATGGCTCATCAGATCAGACTTAGATAACACACAAAATTACTATCAGCCCTCCTCTGAATCTAGCTGTCAAAGAGACACTGATCCCAGAGATAAACTCAGCATCTCAGTCATAATGACAAGGAGAAGTGGCATCTAAGTGGGAATTAGAAGGTCCCCAAAAGACCAGAAGATGGGCATTCTTTCTGAATACTGTTTCAGATGCTAAAATAGGAAAAGGATTTGGCTCTGCAAGGAAGGGGTGCTGGATTTGGGGCAAACTATTTGTACCAAGACATGAGTCCCAGAAAAGAATAAAGGGTAGAAGTTGCACGAGGAGTCCATTAGGCTCAGAACTTCTCCTGTCTGTAGATAAATCGTTTCTCTAGGTCCTATTGTCTAGGTCTAGCCTGTGGGGAAACTGGACTCCACAGTTGGCCTTCTCCTAACAACTAAATTGAAGGAGCATATGAAAAAGAAGAATATAGATACTAAAAAAAAAAAGAAAAGAAAAAGAACCCATTGCAGCATTGATGTTGCTGAATGGAACAGATCAATAGAATTATAAAATGAGTTCTTAATTTCATAGACTAGCTTGACATTAAGAACATAGAAAAGAAGAAACCAAATAGTTCCAGTCAAAGATCCCTAACAGAAATCCAAGTACATCCCAACAAACACACTCGGTCTGGCAAGGAAAGGTTTCATTTCAATTTAACAAGGCCAGAAGACAGTCTGAACATTTCCATTATGTAGAGCCGTGGGGTTCACATACCTCTGCTTTCCCTATATCTGCGGTATAGGATATAGGCAATCGTTGCACTGGCTGGGATCCCGAGGCCCAGTGCTATTTTCTGAATAGTGGACAAACTTGTCCAAGAAGTCCGTTCAGTGGACATTTTCTGCTGTACTCTGACTTACATCCTGGAATAAGCAAATGAGGGAAAAGAAGGAGCTTTCATCTGACACCTTTACAACTGGCAGAGAGGCATGGGAATACATTATAATATTATTAAAAAGAATAATCCTGCCTACCTTCCCATTTCAAGAGCTTGAGCAGTCTCAGAATCTATCTCATGTAAAGGTCTATTTCATCTAACTTTTAAAAAGTTAGCTAAGGGACACACACAACTAGAGAGAGGCATACTTCATTCTCTGCCCCCACCCCTCCAGGGAGAACTATACAATGACCACAATTTTAAAAGACAAAGGAACAAAAAGTTAAGTGAATAAAATATTTCAAAAATAAATATTTAGATTTCATATCAAACTATTTAAAATTCCTTATCTGTGCCCTTCTATGCTTTCAGGTCTTTCCTGAGCTGTTGATTCTGCAAAGTGTGGCTTTCCAGGCCTAATTTTAGGCTTTGCTACTTCTACTTCTCTTTCTTGGAAGTACTGTCTTTATTTACTGTCTATACTCCTGATTTCTATTTACTCCTCAACCAGGTCTGTCTTGCTCCTTTGCCAAAACTACAACTTTCCAGATAATCAACCTAGATGGCGTGTATAAGCCTTATCTAATAATACCTCTGTGCCCTCTTTCTCTTGGTTCCTCCTATTTCCCTGGAGGGGCCTTTGGAGTTTTAGACTTGTCTTCTTGTGGTCTCTATCCACTGCTATTGTCATTCTGCTCTCTTTGGGTAATTTCACCCACACCTGCAGCTTCAACTACTACCTACATGCTAATGACTCCAACAACACTGCACCTGGACTGATTCAGAAGCTCCTCAAATCTCATTTAGACCACTGCAGCGGCCTTCCTGCTATTCGTCTCTGACACTGTATCTTCATTTTCCTGCCGAGCAAATCTTAACATGTCCCTCACTATGTTTCCTTATTCCATATAGTTTCTCACCCTCCCAGACAATTATTTCATACTGTTTCTTCTCAAACCTCTAGCACCTCCTTCTCCATCCTCACTCTCAACTGATGTCCTTGCTTCCAATTTCAGTGAGAAAGTAGAGTGCTCAGAGAAAATATTAACAAACTTCCACATTTTCCCACATATCTTTATCTGTGCCCAAGTATTCTATCTTCTCTCTCGTGGCCATAGATGAACTGTCTCCGCTAGCAGTGAAGTCTCCCATAAAAGTGTTATTCCACCAGCGTCACTCTCCTTCCTTCTCCTGCACTGTTAATGTTTTCTTCTCTATTGGATCCTTCTATCAGCAGACAAACATGCTATTATTTCTCCTTTCTCAAAAGAAACTTTCTCTATTCCACTTATTCCTCCAAACGTTTCTCATTTTTTTTTCCTTCCTTTTACAGGAAAACTCACAAGCGCCAATACTTCTGTGCTCAATTTCTCTTCTTGAATGCATTCTCACTGCTCTTGTCAAGGTCACCAGTGACTTCACACTGCTAAATCAGATGATCAATTCTCACTCTTCACTTTATCTGACCTCAGCCTAGTATCTAGCACAGCTGGTGACTCTCTCTTCTCTGAAACACTTTCTTCACACTTGGCTTCCATGACAACACTTTCCTGGTTTTCATTCTCTTTCTGGCTGCTCCATCAGTCTCCTTTTTCTAACCTCTAAACACTGGAGTGCCCCAGGGCTCTGTGCTTTGCCCTCTTCTCTCTTGTACCTCACCTCCTGGGTGATCTCATCAAGCTCTCATTCATGGCTTGGCTTTAAAACCCATCTATATGCTGTTAACTCCCAAATTCATAGACCGTGTTCTCCTGATCTCTAGGTTTGTTTATCCAACCACCTATAAGACACAGCGCCATTTGACATCTAATAGGGATCTCAAACTTAAAAGGCACACTCCCGATCTTACCTGCTTCCTGTAGTCTGCCATTTCAGTAAATGGCAACTCCACACTTTTAGTTCCTCAGGCTGAAAATCTTACTCATCCTCTTCCTCAAACAGCACATCCAGGCTGTCAGCAAATCCTGTTCGTTCTACCTCTAAATTATCCAGAATCTGACCACTTTTTACTTCTCCAACTACTATCACCACCATCTGCTCTAAACCACTATTATCTCTTGCCCTAGATTATTGCAATTGCTTCTTAATTATGTCTTTGCATCTTCCATTGTTTATTCTTAACACAACTGATGGAGTAAGTCAAATATTATTCATCCATTCAAAATCTTCCAGTGGTTTCCCATCTCACACTGATTAAAAGCCTAAGTCATTATAATAACCTGTAAAGTCTTCACTTTTGTCATGATCCATTTGTCATGATTGTCTCCCCATTAGAATGTAAATTCCACAAGGGCAGCAATTTTTTTGTTTGTTTCTCAGTACTTAGCACACAGTAGCTAGTCAACAATCATTTACTGAATGAATAAACTTCCTCTTCTACAGCAACTCTCTGTGCCTACATGTAAAGTCATTAATGGCATGTTCGTTCTAATCTGATCTCTGCCTACCATCTTCACAGCCTTTTAGTGAACCCCACCTCTACTAGGGGAACAGGATGTGCTCTCTTATGTATCCATGCTCTAATAAATGTGTCACTTCTGTTTTCCTAGTCTTCCTCCTTAGGCCCATCTGGTATCCCTGGCAAAATTCTATTCCTTCTTAAGTCTCAGCTCTATTACCATTTCTTCTGAGGCCTCTGGGATTTTCCCTAGCTGACTTAGGGTGAGTTTCTCCTTAGCTCATGCTGCCCTATGAGAGATACTCCTGTGCCAGCACTTGTTCACACCATATGCAATTGTTTATCTGTTATGCCTGTGTCCTCTAGACTACTGGCTTCACCAGTGCAATTCAACCATATTTATTAAGCACGTGTATGTGCTAGATGCTACTGTGGCATTAAGGACACAAAGATGAAAAGATAAATGTATTGAGTAGCTACTATGCCACCAGTTACTTTACATACATCATTTTATTCAATCTTCATACAATCCTGTAAGGTGGGAAATATTAACACCAGTTTTACAGAGGAGTACACAGGCTTAAAGAGGTTACCTAACCTCTTACCCAGAGTCTGGGTTATTATTTGCATATCAAAAACCTTTTAAAGTGACTTTAGGAGCCACCTCTCCCTCCTTTTACCTAAACTCTCAGCAGAACAGTAGCTAGTGTCTTTATTCTTTATTCTGATCAACACATTAAATTCACAATTAATAAACAAATACTGGTGGAAAACACTGCAGGTGGTAAAAAACTAAAGACATTATAATATAAATACAAATATAAAGATATTATAATCTAGCGGTAGAACAAAACATAATGTGGCTTTCAACAAGATTTGCTTTAAAATGAAGGAATGTAATTTATGCTCTAATTTGCCTTCATGCTCAAAATTTCTACCCAAATGATTATGCTATACAAGAAAAAAATATTTTTCGCCTTAAAAAAACCTGGTTGTATCCTAGTAAGGCTAAAAACATACTCATTAATAAAGGACCTACTCAGGAATAAAACTTGGGTTCTAAATGTGCTTCTCCTGAAAGCCTTTCAGGAAGAGTGATGAGGGAAAGGAGAAGACCTCTTACAGAAACCTCGTTCTGAGAGAAAATCCCGTAAGGACACTGCAGGCAGATTTCTTACCACTGTCAGACAGAGGACCAAATTTTCTATCTGGCCTCAGAGAGCTTTACTGACCACTAGAAATGAATCAAGTTCTTCAGAGAACTACCAGAAGTTTGCCAAATCTATTTTTTCTAGCCAATAGTTTTAAACAAATTCAATCCATTCTCTTGCCCGGACCCATGGCCTGAAGAGAAAAACAAAACCTCCCTTTACGACCTTGGTGAGGGACTCTTTTCAAGTGTCTTATTATTCCAGGCGATTAGTTGCTCAGTAAGTACATCCAGTAAATATCACTTTTAGAGATTGTTTCAACCTGAGGGAATGTGGCTGCTATTATTTTTTCTTTTCCTTTTCAGTACACAGCAAACTGTTGAGTTTAATGTGGGGTGGTTTGTTCTGAGTTATGAGGTTCCTTCCCTAATTGGATAAAAATCAGCTTCTCTTTTCTCTCCAGGTTGCAAATAAAACCTTTCTCAACTCTCTGAAAGTCTGGGTGGTATCATAAACCTCTTTGTACATACCAAAGGAAAGGAAACAGGCTCGGTTTCATAAAGCAGATTTTTTGCTTAAGTAATTCTTGGATATATGAACCCCAAACTGCTACTTTCTTACATTAAGAGATGGTTTATTCTGGGTGTCAAAAAAATTTCACTTCTTTTATCTACTGGTTACTGCACATATTTTATCACATGGTCTCTCAAGTGCAAAGCTTTCTTTACTATTAATGTGCCTCAGTTAAATAGTGCTAGCTCTTTGCTATGGGCTGAGGTGCCGGGGACACAAGGAGGAACAAGAATTCCTGCCTTGAAATACTCAGTCTAGTGGGAAAGATCAAACTAATTACATGGCAATGCAAAGATAATGTAAATCCTCAGTTAATGCAATAGCTGGGAGGAGCTACAACCTAACATGTTTATTTTTCAGATGGTGCATAGTTGAAAACCACCTCATTAAAATACAAATCATTTATCTTCTGCAGTTAAACCAATAAATGAGTATGCCATGTGTGTTTGGCCCGGGGAATACTTAATAGTCCAAACAGACTTAGTAGCTGCCTTCATGGAGATTCCTATCAGGCAGGGAAGGTCTTGATAAGCAGGTGTTAAAGGTTGTGGGAAACAAACAAATCTAGCCCCGTGAACAACAGCAGTCACTTGATCCACACTCTAACGCTGCCTGCCTTTCAATGCCACCTTGCTGGACATAATTCATGCTTATGAAGCATAGAAATCATAGAATTTTAGAACTAGAAGGAACCACCGAGATGATCTGATTCCACTAACAATGCTGCAACTGGGGAAACGAGGCCCATGGAGATAAAGGGATTTCCCTAAGGTTACACAGCTAATCAATCATTTCCTCACAATGTGGTTTGAAGACCAGTCATGATGGCACCTCTTTAAGGAGACTCAAAGGACTAATACCATTTTTTTCCCAGTGCAGAAACTACAAGGATCAAGGCAAAAGGATATCTAATATTCCTTTGCTTCTGCACTCCCTCAATCCTGACCCTCTATACTAGATTGTGTTTCACCGCTGTGGAGTTTCATAGTACTCCAAACATCCCTAACACACGCATTGCTTGTAATTCTTGATTAACGGCTGTGTCTGTAGTGAGAATGAATTGAATGTAGCAACAGTGAATATAGGGAGACCAATTCAGAGGCTAGTCCAGGTGTCAGTGATTAAGATGGAGAGCAGTAGATGGATTAGAAGGGTTTTAACAGGTAGAATACGTAAGACCCAGCAACTGACTATGGAACGGTTAGAGGGTGAGCCCAGGAGCCGGCTATCAAGTTCCCCATATGAGCACCTGGTAGATGGTGGTGTTTGAGATAGAGAATATTGATGATTTCGTGGTGGAGAGAGTATGTGTGGAAGATGAGTGCCTGTGACAAGGATAAATTCACTGGGTGACTTCTATTTGAACCAAAAGCTAAATTTCACTAACTCCTCTTCAGATATCACAAATGAAGTGTGTGCTAATTGTGTTATCAGTTGATGTCTCAAGGAATGAATACCTAATTGATTAATCAACTATAGTTTTGTTTACAATTTACATATCCTTTTCCATTTCTTTTCCCCAGTTCAGAAACTATCAGGATCAAGGCAAAAGACTATCTGATATTCCTCTGGTGCTGCAGCCAAACTGTTGTAAGTTTCTCTTAAAAAAAAAAAAGAGGAAAGAAAAGTGGGAAATAATATGATGGAAACAGGGATAACTATAACTATTTAGTACTTAAGGCCAGCTGGTGTTTGGTTTTATTTCAAATTGAATGCGAAGACGAGGAGACTAGAACTTAAGACCACCGTGCCCAGGGGAAGCTAGGTAAAGAGGAGACATGTGGATCATTTCAGGGTGCGAAATGTAGCTAGACAATGGTCTTTCAGCGAAAGCTAACTTTAAAATTTCCTGACATTCGTACTCAACAGTTGCTAACAACCATCTGGTATGTGTAACTAAAGCTTACTTCTATTATCATTTCAAAAACATAGGAGTCAAATCACATTGTGAGCTCCACGGGGCAAGGCGCTCTCATTCCAGCGTCTCCTCCTAATCAGACCCCACAAAGTTCCTAAAACATGGTGACAGGCTTGCGGAACCGAAGCAGCTCAGTCCATTCTCTCATCTTTGCTACACTTATTCTTTAAACCCAGGAGTGACAAAAAGCCTCAACCCATTTCTCTCAAGCTGAAAAAAGTCTAAAAACGTAGCTTGACACGGGAGTCTTCACCCCAAAACCACGATGATACCTGCATTAAGGAGTCAGGAGGGAAACTGGAAAAACAAACAAAAACCCCAACGTATTATTCTGACGACTGCAAACAGTTATCCTACTGGAGCTAATTAAGAAAAAGCGGAGGAAAATAAAAGGCACACCGAGGGCGGGTCTACCGTCTCAAAAGGGAGCAGTCGAAAAGTCCGAACTGGCTGGGGCAAACCCTCTCGCACCACGTCCGCGCGCCTCCTCCCTGGACCCGGCATTTTCTTTGGATCCGGTTACTGCCCCGGGGGTAGACCTGGCCCATCACCTCGCCTCAGCCCCGGGGCTAGGGCGCCTGCCCCGGGCCCCACGCCCTCGGGGATGCCCCCTTCCCTCAGCGCCACATTTCCCCCTCCTGGGCGCCAGGGCCGCGCCCGGCCCAGCCTCTCCCACTCCCCAAACCTCCGCTCCCGCTCGCCGCCTTTACCGCTCCTCGAGTCAACTGTCGCGCGCTCCGCCTAGCACGTCGAGCCAGCGGCCGTCGCCTCCGCCCACTCGCACCACCACGCGGAGCCCCGCCGGCCTCGCTTCAGCCGCCTCTTCCCCGCCCCCGCAGCCCCTCCGCACCAATCAACGCCCGGCTCGCAGCCCGACCAATCGCCTTCCCCGCCACAACCAATCCTTCCGCGGGCTGTCCCTGAGCGACGGCGCGGCCGAGCGCGGATACCCAATTACCCGGATGGACTTCAAAGCCGACTCACCGCGTCAGCCAATCACATCCAGGGAAAGCAGACGTTGTCAATTGAGATTGCACCTGCTGAGAATTAAACAGCCAATTAGAGGTTTCACGGAGTCCTCCCAGCCCACCTCTAAGCCAATTACTAAGCCAATGAGGAGGCTGCCACCTCCCAAGCCTTGGGGAAGAAATCAGCGGTGTGGAGGCTGGGCCCGAGGCGCGAGGGGGTTGAATTACTCATGCGTGTCACCGTTCGCACAAAATTGGTGCCTTTGTGCAAAGCCACCCCACAACCAAGAGACCAGAGGAAAGCAGTCTCGCGATGGACGATGCTCTGCCGCTTGTTTCCTCCGCGATGTTTTGCCTCGATTGGTCCTCCTACGGTGACAGAGACTCAGGAGACAGGGAAAACAAAACAGGCTTCGTGGAGGATGGAGAAAAGTTCGAAGGGAAGGAGCTGCGCGGCAGAGAGCGAGGGCCAGCTCTCTTTCTCTGCCCAGGAATAAACAGGGTGAGGACCGCCGCGGCAGCAGGAGAGGTGGAGAGGGACTCGGGTTCCGAGCGCGCCGTGGTAAGGGAGCTGCGGGTAGTGCGGGCGTCAAGGGCCCGCCCTTCACCTTCGCTAGAGATTGAGGGAAACGGGTCGGGCAGCAGGCGCGAAGGCTCCAGCCAGGGGCTGCCTTGTGTAAGGGCGAGAAAGGGGGTGGGTTTCTGCAGGCGGCAGTTTGCTTTGGAAGGGTGCATTCCAGGCGCCGGCCGGGTCCTGGACGGTTAGGGACGGTTGGGTCCTCTACCGCCTCTGCGCCAGAGCCTCAGGGTCCGGGCCCAGCCCCCCAAGCCCCCACCACTCCCCCAGCCTCCCCGCCAGCTCCGCAGCAGGCGCTCACCCTGGGGACCGGGCGCTGGGCGCTCTTGTAACGTGGAGATGCCTGGGGCGTGATAAACACTCGGTGAATGTTGTTTGAATGAACGCAAGATTGTATCTTTGGTCAGTTAGGGAGATGCCTTTGGCCCTCAGTTTTTCGTTTTGTATTAATTTAAAAAATGTGTGTTTTGAATGACTAATACATGCACGTTCTACAATGTTCGAAAGGAGTAAAACGTTATTATTAAGTCTCCTTTCCCTCAGAGGCGACCAGTTTTACCAGATTCTTGTGAATTTTTCACAAGATATTCTATGGTCAACATGCACATATTACATTTATTTATATATGTAATTTTTACCCAGTTGGTAACATATTGTACATACCATTTTACACTTTCCTTTTGTATACTGTAGGTATCTTACCAAAGCAACATATATCTGCCTAATAGTGAGATTCTTAGTAAACCTGAGGGATTTAAGGTATATCCAACTAGTCCTTTAACATCATATTGATACCCAAGTATATTTCATTTGGGTCTTGTATATCTGTATAATAAATACCTAGAACTGCAAATGCTAGGTCAAAGAAGTGTGTGCATTGGTTTTTCATTTGGATGGATACAATTTTGCAAATTCCCTCCCTCCCAAAGATTTTTCTCATTTCAATTCCACCAGCAATGTTTGAAAAGAATTTTGGTAAGTATAGTATTGCCAAATTGCCTTCCACGGAAGTTTTACCAATTTGCTCTTTCATCAGCAATGTATGTAAAGGACCACCGTGTTGTCAAACTTTTTGATTTTTGACAATCTGGTAGTGTAAATGGTGTCTCGTAATTTTAATTGTAATTTTTAAATTATAAGATTGAATATCTTTTAATATGTTTAAGTGGCAATTGTTTTTTATTTTTCTGTAAATTGTTCATATACTTTGTTCACATTTTTATTGGTTGTTAGGTCTTTTCTTAATAATTACTCTGATCGTATGTAAGTTAAAAATAGTTTTCTTTTTTTCTCAGTTTGTCCTATGTCTTTTTACATTGTTATGGTGATTTTTTTGCTATGCAGGTATTTTTTATCTTTATGTAGTTGAATTTGTCAACATTTTCTTTGATAACTTCTGGGTTTCCTATCATTTTGAGAAAAGCCTCCCACTACCTAAGATTATTAAGAAATTCTCTTATGTTTTTGTTAAATACTTTTATTCTTTTTGTATATGTAAATATTTGATTCACCTGGAATTTATTTTGGTGTAAAAGCATGAGATTCAACTTGATTTTGTTTGTTTTATCCAACCCTACTTATTGAATAATCCATCTTCTCTCCATTGTTTTTGAATGCTACCTTTGTAAGATCCAAATTGCCATATGTATTTGCATCTATGTCTGGATTTTTCACGTTCCATTGATCTCTATTTGTGTTCTAGGACCATGCTGTTTTTTAAAAAATTGATGTACATTGTGGTTTTTTAAACCACAATTTAAAAAATTGACGTACAACATATAGAAAAGTACATAAATGAAAAGTATACATCTTGATAAATTTTCAAAAATGGAACACATTTGTGTAACCAACACCCAGATCAAGAAACAGAACGTTATCAGCAAGCCTGAATGGCTTGTGTCCCTTCTCAGGCACTACTCCCCTCAAGGGTAACCACTCTTCTGACTTCTAATGGCAGAAACTAGTTTTGCCTTTTATTTTCTATGTAAAGAGAATCACACAGTGTGTAGTCTTTTGTGTCTGGCTTCTTTTGTTAAACATTATTTTTGTGAGATTGAGCCATCTTGTTGTGTGTAGTTTTAGTCCGTTCATTCTCATTACTGTGTAATAGTATATTGAGGGAGTATACCACAATTTACTTTTCAATTGTAATGTTAACATTATTTTGATTGGAATCACGTATTTTTAGATTACCTAAGGCAGAATTGTATTTATGATATAGAATCTTCCTATATACATGTTTAAGTCATTAATGCCCCATCAGTAGCATTTTAAAGTTTTTGTCATATGGAATTTACACATTTGTTTTTAAGATTATTCCTAGGTATTTGAGTGCCTTGATTGCTATAGCTATTTTTACTTCTAAAAAGGTAAAAGAGTAGTTCAGACCCAAGGAAGAACGTCCGTCCATTGTTGCTACAAAAAGCACAGGCCTACTTTATGGGCTCATCTTCCAGCTCCAGTGGGAGGAAGTGGGCAAAAAAGAGAAATGAAGTGGAAGTCCAAAAAGATGGATTAAAAATTAAACCATAGGAGGAATTTCCTAATCAGAGCAGTGAAAAGCAGGTGTAATTACTTTTCCTGGAAATTTTTCAAAGGAAGGTTGACTTCTAATTGGCTGGGTAGGATGATTGGGGAGTAGAAGGGTAACTTTAGGGGAGATGATTCCAAACTCAATCTCTAGTCCCTGTGTATTTGGGATTTGTCGTCTCATTTCACCTCTAAGAGCCCAAATTAGGACTGAAACCAGTAGTTACGAGAGCCTGGGATTGGGTGAATTGTAATTGCTTTATTCTTGTCTCCAGTTCTTAAGAGTCCATTCTCTTTCTTTGAAGGGTGTTCTGAACAGGGTAACACAGGAGGCAGTAGGTGAAACTAGTTAACATAAGGTCTGGGTTCAATGGGAGGTGAGTGCAATGAGCAAGTGTTTCCACTCAGTAAACCAAAGCAGGAAAGTAGACTTCAGCTGGAGGACTGGGCACCGAGGCGTTCTCAGAGACGGTAAGGAGCCTGATTCCAGAGCCGTGGCTGCTCTCAGAGTTCCCTTCTCGGACCACATGCAAACGATCCGTTCAAATGGTGTTCAGCTATCTGAGTTTCTGGAAAACAGCACATTCCCTTTGCCCATTGTAGGAGTCTCCCCTTCCTCCTCCATCACTCAAGGCTCTTCACCAGAAACCAGCAACTGGGAGCATGTGCGTTAGTATCAGAAATTACACTGGTATTACTCCTCAGTCTTTAGATCAGAGTGATGAACTGTGGCAGGTGTCCTAGGAGAGAGACAGTCTCCTCAGCCCTCCTGGCCGCTACCATCCAGCTCTAAGTCTTCCTGCTGAATTCCCCTTACAAAGCAGTTTGAAGGAAGAGGACTCACGGAGTTCTGTCAAGCAGGGTAGGCAGAAGGTGGGCAGAGTCAAATTCTCCTCGAATCTGAAACAGCTCAGACTGTTCCTCCATATGAGAAGTTCCTGAGCAGCCTCCCTGTACCCTAAGAGGTTGTTGAGGTGAGAACCTAGACAAGGGCCTAAGAAATCGGAAGCCTCTATTTTTCACCATGAGAGGCTTTGTTGCTGGCAGCCAGGCATTTCAGTGCAGTCCATCGGATTCCTGGAATTTCTGCTGCTTTCTGTTGGTCTCTGGGGCAGAGACAGCAAGGACCTTGGGGGAGGGGACTGAGCGAAAGAGTAAAAACCAGCCAACCCTCAGCTTCCTGCATCAGGTGCATTAGGGCTGCTGAAGGAAGGTGAGGATCAACAACTGACCCCAGTGCCCCTAAAAGAGTTGTTCAGAGTGAGTCGGGTGGAAGATGACCCTTGACTTTACCTTTCTCACAGCTCAGGTCCTGCAGATGAGAGGCCCTGGGAAGGAGTTATAAGAGCAGACAGTGGCTAGGGCAGTGTGGCAGTATGGTGGAAGGCATTTGGGTTTTGTGACAGCCCTGAGTTCAAACTCAGCTCTGTTGCTAACTAGCTCTGTGTACTTGAGCACGTTACTCAATCTATTTGACCTTTAGTTCATCAACTAAGATGCCCTATCTATAGGGTTGAATGAGGATTAAATAAGAAAACATATATATAGTCACTGACATAGAATAGGCCCTCAATAAATTTATCTTGTCTCTCTACTACTGTCTCACCTTGTGGAGAGCCTCTGTTGGATTGCCCCCACAATGTGGACCATAACATCCCTGCACATGTACACATACCACCCACATGTGTCCCTGGTTGCATTCACACACTTGACACACACATTCACCAGCCTGTACAGTCGCACCTGAGCTAAGGACAGCCTTCCCAGACAGGTAAGATGAGGGGCCAGCTTGCTGATGACGGGGCAAGCTGTGGAAATGCTCCGCCCGATAGCCTGGTTATATGAACAGGCTTCGTTCCTTGGAGGTATTCTGGAAAAGCTGTGTAAGGAGAATAAGGCGTGGTAGTGGGGGATAGCTCCACAGACATTTCCCCTAAGTTGAATGTGCTTCTTGAGGGATACTTTGCCCACCGCTGCCAAGGAAGCCCTAGTCTATGCCCAGAGTTGTAGTGTCTGGAGCTGTGCTGTTCAGTACAGTAGCCCCTGGCCACATGTGGCTACTGAGCACTTGAAACATGGCTAGTGTGACTTAGGAATGAAATTTTAAATTTCTTTAATTTTGATTAATTTAAATGTTAAGACTGATACTTGATTTAGTTATTGGAAAACTTTTAATGTGTTTGGAACAACTTGGATGTGTGAATTGACTTTTTCAACAGTGAATTTTGTGAAACCTAAATACAGATCAGATATTTCTGGTGAAAATTTAGTGATCAAATTGGAATGTGCTGTAAGTGTAGAATATATACTGGATTTCAAAGACCTATTATGAAAAAGTAATGTAAAATATTTTATTACTAATTTTTATATTGATAACGTTGAAATAGTAGTTTGAGTACATTGGGTTAAATAAAATATAGTATTGATATTAATTGTATCTGTTTCTTTTTGCTTTTTTAATGTGATACTGGAAAATTTGAAATTACATATATGACTCACATTCTATTTCTATTGAACAATGCTGCTCTGGAGACTTTGGGACTCGGGCAGCAGCATCGCCTGCTCCAGACACACGCCATCTGTTCCTCACTGCCTCAGGGGGCTTCCCAGAGAAGATTTCTCTGTGCAGCAATGCTGCTTCCACCCTTTTCTGCATTGCAGAGTGGGCGACTCAAGTGAGAGGCTCTAGCACCTGACCCCCACGTCCCAACCTAATAAACCGATGGTGAAAGATTTCAGAGAGGAGGGAAAGTGCTGTTCCTGGGGAAACCTTTCTAGTGTCTTATCAACTGGAGAGGGGAGATTGCTGGGATGCTGAGAGTTGTGTGTGCGTAGTTGGGGGGCAGGGTTGGAGGCTCAGGGACGTCCACGTCTCAAGATTGTCAGATTCTCCAGCCTCACTCTCCAAACTGCGGGGTCCTCACATTCACCTCTGGCCCCACCCCCATATTGCCACCTCTGCCCCACCAAAGAGGTTGTCGTAAAGTCCGCTGCCTCCTCAATGGTGCTGGCTCCTCCCATCTGTCAGGGACAGTTTGAGCTGGGAATCTTCTAACGAGTCTCAGAGCAAGGATAACAGCAGCAGGAGTCGTTTAGGAAGCTCATGATGCTTGCGTATTGTTTGGTGAGGAATGGGTGGGGGTGCTTGAGTGTGGAGGGGAATTAAGGATGTTGTGCAGATGCTGCTACAGAGAGAGAGAGAGAGAGAGAAAGAGAGACTCCCCAGGGCCACGTGACTCTCACTTCTCGGTCCCTCCTCCCTGCTCCTTTCTTCTCCCTTCACTCCTCCACTTCTGATGATGCTGCTGAGGCTGCTGCCCTGTCCCTTGAGCTCTCAACATCTCTACTTTTTCTGGCTCTGCTTTGCCCTCCGTCTGAAGCACATTCAGGCAGTCAGCATCTCCTCCCCCTACTCCACGTCTACATCTGGGGTTTGCATAAGACGGTGACCTCTATCCAGAGGCAGCTTCCCCCGGGGCTGCACTGCACCCAGAATGGGAAACTGCAGAAGGGTAGTGGGAATTAACGAGGCAGGCAGTTCCTGCTGCTCCCTCTTCCCTCCACTTCTCACTGCAGAGTGCAGTGCCTCCTCCCTTGTTCCTCCAAGCCTGGTCCTGCTGTGTTCTGGGTCTCTCTCCTTTGACAACTGCAGATTCTTGGTTTTGTTAGTCATTTTCCAGGAGTTCCCTTCTTGCTTTCCCTCAAGAGCACTAGGAATCTGTGACACAGGAATGGTAGGGAGATCCCAACAAGAATGAGAAGGAAGGAAGAATGAGAAAGAAGGGAAGGAGCTGGGTGTCCTGGGCTGGAATTTCTGTAGAGGGATCCATTAGAAGGCGGAAGATCTCTCCTCCATCTCCAGAGATGGAGAGTGCAGGGCAAAGGTTGAAAGTGAAATGGGCTGGCAGTGCTGATCTCTCCAGGCCTGGTGGACTGCCTTTTGCATAAACCCCTGTTTGTGAGGCTGCAGTAGGTTCAGAGAGGCCACTGGGATACAGACTCAATGGCATAAAGGCAGAAAGGGTGCAAAGAAGGAGATTTGATGGAAACAAGGGGTGGAAAGAGACTGAAGAAAACTTGAGATCATGTTTAGTTTTGGCTGCTACTGTCATGGCCTTTTGGCAGCAGGTTTAATGATATGACAGACTGAGGCCGGTAGTGGAGGCTCATGCAGACACAGTGCCAGTGTGTAGTCTCTTCTCCCCCAACCCACACTCGCATCCTTTTCTCCTTAGCCTGAAGTCCTCTGCCCTAGTTCCTTGCACCTTGGGAGGGGACAGAGCAGAAAAGAGAGGGAGACCCCCTGGTTGAGGATCAGAGACTCCAAGAAGCAAGTGGCACATCCAAGCCCCATCTCTGAAATAATCTTATAGTTGTGGTTGGCAATTGGTATTGGTTATTAAAAAGGTATAAGTGTGTGCAAAGAAAGCCTGGTGGTTAGACTAGAAGACTGGAGCCTTGGTTATGTTTCCTGGTTTGTGTGTGGTTGGGGAGGGCTGGGCTTACTACGGGGTCTATGTCCCCGCTCTCCGGGACTCTCAGGGAGGAGGTGACAATGCTTATCCTCAAATGGCAAAAGCACAAGGGGGCAGACTCTATCAGGAGGCATCATTAGCTCCTGGCACGATGCAGGTGGGAGGTGTGGGAGATCTGTGCTGCTTGGGACTAGGTTCTGGTCCAAGTGGTCTTGGTTCCCTTCCTCTTTTGGATCTGAAGCTGGCTTGGCTGGGTCCACAGTGTGGAAGGAAAGGTCAGAAGAGCTTGGCAGTGACTCGGTTGCCCCCAGAGTTCTTATCCCCAGAAGGCCGAGGTGCCACAAAGTCAAAGGTTGTGTGATGTTTGACCCGGCCTTTGCCCTTGCTCCAGAGGGCAATGAGGCCAAAGCAGAGGGTCACTGAGGTGAGGAAGGGGAGGAAGCCAACTGCCAGCACCATAGCTATGCCTCTGCTATCTAGGAAGAAAGGCCCTGGGATCCCTGGCATCGTGATGTTGGGGTCAGAGAAAGAGCCATTTGGTGGTTCAATTTGGATCACTTCCAGCCAGGTCCTCAGGGAGTCATTCCCAGCCACATTGCTGACCACACAGACATAGGCCCCTCTATCCCGTAGCTGCACTGAGCGGATCTCCAGCGTCCCGTCCTCTAGAACCCTTACTCTCCCAGCCCTTCCCAGCCAAGCCCCCTGAGGCCTCATCCAGGAGACGGTCGGGGCTGGGTCTCCATCTCCAGAGCAGGAGAAAACAGCATGCCCCCCCTCCTCTGCAACAACCCAGCGGGGCCCAGACTTTCGGATCATGGCTGGTTGGCAAGTGAAGTGCCCTGGAGGTAAGATGTCTGAAAACTCCCTCAGGCTCTTCCCCTGGACATGCTGCGGGCCAGCACAGGCAGGGGGGGACGTGCCAAAGTCCAGGCGGCGGCGGAGCCGGAGGAGCCAGAGGAGGCGGCAGTCACAGGTCAGGGGGTTGCCAGACAGCCTCAGGGTGACCAGTTTGTCTGGAGAAGGGAAGGCTGTTTCCTCTAGTGTCTGAAGGGCATTATCCGCCACATCCAGGAGGTGGAAGGCAGTCAAGCCCTGGAAGGCATGGGCAGCGATGGAGGTTAGGCATGCCCCCGACAGACGTAGTTCCTGGAGCCGCACCAAGGGACTGAGCCTTCGGGCTGGGATGGATGAAATGGGGTTCTGAGACAGATCCAGGACCCTGAGGAAGCTCAGGTGGTGCAGCGCTTGAAAGGGCACCGAGCTCAGATTGCAGCGAGTGATGGCCAGACTGCTGAGATTGAGCCCAAGCAGGCTCCCAGGCTCCAGGGCCTCCAGAGATGGCCAGTGGTGGATCTCCAGCTCCTTTAGCTTCCGCAGCCCCCGTAGCGCCCCTGCCGGTAGTCTCCCAATATCCAGTTCTCGAAGCCTTAGGGCCACTAGTGCCGGGAGATGAGCCAGGGCCAGGCCGGGTACCGTGCTGAGGTTGCAGCGCTCCAGAGTGAGCGTGCTCAGCTTGGCCAGCCCTGCAAAGGCTCCTGGAGCCACAAACACCAGGTGGTTGTCCCCAACCTCCAGCTGCTGGAGGCTGCCCAGCTCCCCAAAAGCTCCATCGAGGAAGAGGACAATCTGGTTGAGGCGGAGGTCCAGCAGCATGAGGGCAGACAGGCCCGAGAAGACCCCTGGCCCCATGATTCTCAGCCGATTGCCCTGCAGCCTCAGGGTGAGTAGGCTTTGTAGGCCACGAAAGGCCCCAGGCTCAAGGGTGGACAGCTGGTTGTAGCTGAGATCCAGTTCCCGGAGCAGGCCCAGGCGGGAGAACATTCCCTGCTGAAGCCCCCACAGGCGATTCCCACTCAGGTCCAGGAGTTCGGTATCTAGCGGGAGTCCCCCAGGTACAGCCTCCAGCTGCCGGTAGGCGCAGAGCACTGCCCGGGGCTGGGAGGTGCAGTCGCACACAGCAGGGCAGCCACCACTGCTCCCTCCAGGCAGGAGGAGCAGGAAAAGGAGGAGGGACCACGGGGGCCAGGCTTGCTTTGGAGCTGTGGCCGCAGCCATCCCCTCTTCAATCCTGGAATAGATGATGACATGACCCTTTTGGGAAAGTGGCTTCAGATGATGGTGACCCTGGACCTCCCAGGGCCTCCTTAAGGAGAGAGACATTGAGCTATCCATCTCAGCAATGCCAGCAAGTAGAGTGCAGAACCAGGAGAAATTCTGGTGCACACCTTCCTGGAGCCTCCTGGGGCTCCTCTTCGGGGAACCTCTACTTTCCTCCCCCTCCCAGCCCTGGGTGACAGGCCAAGCGCTCACTAGCTCATGGAACCCTCGTCAAGCCTGATTTCTGTGGGGAAATTTTTATCAGAATGGGACAGGAAACAGCAGGGAAGTGACTTTGAGTCTCCCTGTAATGTTTTTTTTTTTTTCCTATATCTGTGAATCCAGGAATACCTCAGGTCCCTTCTCCCTCATATCTGCTCTCCCCAAGGTCTGCTCTGTCCCTCTCTGCCCACCCTTCTTCTCCCATATTATTTACCCATAGCTTTGTCTAAAGCTCAGGGGAACCATGTCCTTGGATCCTGATTGGAGAGAGGCCTCACCTTGACTAAGTCATCCAAGACTGCGAAACATGCGGGCCTCAACTCTGTGCCCCAGGCTCCGTTTACTGCCTCTCTGCCCCCCAGGCTCCACTTACTGCCTCTCTGCCCTCCTCCAGCCTGGCCCAGGGCCTGAGGCCCTGGACTAGCAAGATCCAATCTCCCCAGTACGCCTATGTGGATGACAGCCAAGCTGCACATTAGCCATGGCACAAGATCCAGGGGGCACTTGAATCCCTCACAAGACCTCCAAGGGCAACCCTTCCTCCCCTACAGATGACATTGGGGTGTGTGAGGGACACAAGAGATGCCCAAGTTTTGAGGTTTGTTGCTTGGTCCTCGAACTTAGGCTTCTCTTATATCCCTCCTTAATGGTGTCTTGATTCAAGTCGAGCGTGTGAATCTGAGGGAGATCTCTCGTCCCCTTTGGCCTCAGCTGCCTGAGTAATATACAGGAGGCAGATTTTGAGCCAGGGAGGCACAGAGAAGTGAGGAGAGACAGCACATAATCAGACACTGTGGGTGGGAGTAAGGGAGCCTTTGGTTGGCACAGCAGATCTCTGGGCACAGGCTGTGTGAACAGCCTATCTACTTAAAGTGGGTTTCTGTGTTCCAGGGGCCTGGGCAAAATCAGGAAAATGGTGACTATGATGACCATTGGAGACTGACTGAAGTCACAGAGGAGAAGGGGTCCTTAGGTGGTGAGAGCCCTTGACTCACCCTGTTCAACGCCAAAGGAGACCCCAAGGGAGGGGAGGTATTGGAATTGGCAAGGGATGGCTAAAGAGATAGGACAAGAGCCACCAATGCTCCCTGGGAGGCAGGACACCTGGGCTCCTTTCTAGCTGCACGTCCCGATCCCCTTTGGTCTTTCAGGCTCCAGGCTTTCTGGGTCCTACAGGGTCTGCTTTTTTCTCCCACATGGAACTAAGGAGAGGCAGGTTAAGAGATGGCGTGATTTCTTCCCCTTCCTCTCCCACTCTACACCCTCCTCTGGAAGCATCGTTTTGGCAGCAATCCTACGGCTACTTCAGAGAACTGTAGTAGCTGGGAAACTGAAGAAAGAGGCCAAAGAGCAGAGGAATGTAGGACACCGTTTTGAGACTTGGGCACAAAAAAGAATGGCATGCGGCAGGCAAAGGCTGCTGGCCAGACTCCTCTTGTCCCTGTCCCAACCTAACAGGTCTCTACGGCATGCTGACTTCTTCAGAGAGAGAAAAGTCCCAGCCTCCCTCGTTCTCTCTGTGCCTGTTCTGGGAAGTCCACCTGACAGCTAGCTCTTTATCGCTACCGCTGCAGTTCCTGCTCATCCTTCTTGCTCTGCATTTAGCAAAAGTGCAGTGAAGCATGTAACCCAGCTTCCCTCCTTCCCACTCCTGTGAGTTTCCTCTCAGTCCCCAAAGCCTGCTGGGCCAGGGGCTGGGGGATCTGGGGCCAACCCCTTTTCTTTATTTATAAGGTGGCTAATTTAATCACAAACTTCCCTTGCCAATCTCCATGGCTACAAGACTGGCTTCCACCCACTTTGCAGGAAGAGACAGGTGTCAGAACCGCTTCTTTCTCTCCCTAAATGGGCTGGGGTCTGGGGCATCATCCCCTCAAGGAATAGGGTGCTTTCTTCTTCTCGTCTCTCCGTGGTGGTCCAGAGACACATTTGAACTCTTTAAAGCAGTCTCCTGATTGAAGCATGGGGGCCTGCGTGGGGAGGGGGCTCTTGGAGGAAAAATTTCTGAAACAGCCACACCGGTTGCGTAAAAAACCCTTCCCAGAGGTAGAGGGAGCACTAGGGGATAGAGGGAGGTCTCCTTGGAGTCCTTCCCCCCAGGGGCACCTGGGACATCTTAGTTTTCCCATCAAAGTCCCGTGGAGCCAGGATCAGTGCTTGGCTGGGGGGGGGTGGAAGGGGCAGGCAGGGTGGGCATAACCTTCTGGCCTTGACAGGCACACTGGTCTGGCCTTGCCTCTGAGAATGGTATGGAGAAGGGCAGCTGCAGCTTTGGGACAGGAAGTGGGGGCACTTACCGGAGAAGCTGGAGGGTGGCATCAAGTTGGGCACTGCATCTGTCCAGGGCTGGGGGCCCGTCCCATTTGAGCTGCACCTTGGCCCCCACACCTCCCCAGTGTGCCTCGCTCCCCACTGCCCGGCTGCCCGGCTGCCCGCCACTGCTGCTGTTGCTGCTGCGGCCGCTGCTGCCAAGACCGAGGTAGAGAAAAGAGCCAGAAAGCATTTCTCCTTTTTTTTTTTTTTTCCTCTCTCGCTTTTTAAACCAGGCGAGAATGAGTCTGCAGCAACCCTGTTGGTGCAAAATAAATAAATAAAGCAACCAGGGAGGGCTGCAGCAAGCACCACTATAGGAGGGTGAATGAGGGGGAGGGAGCACAGAGGGAGGCTCTGGAGCCCGGAGGGGTTGGGCAGTAGAAGCAGCTGGGCAGCTCACAAGGGTCTCTCGGACATCTTGATTCCCTCTGGGGAGCTCTGGAGCCAAGCACCTTCCTTAGGCTGTCTTCAGTCTCCCAGACGTGGGGCAATTCTGTGTAACCTCTCAATCTAAATGTCCCCTGTGGGTATCATTTGTGGGGAAAGTTCTCAGTCCAGAACGTCTGCTGTGGAGCACGTTCTGCGACTCTTTCGGTGGGGGTTCCTGAGCAACAGCTCCCAAGCCTCCCTGGGGGACTGCTCAGGGGGCTAGAATCCTTACAATGCCCGTGGATTGCTGGGCTGGAAACCTGGGTCCCCATACAAGAATGAGACCAGACAGCAGCAGGTAGGTAACCATATTCAAAGCCCCCCTCACCCCCGACACACACACCTCTTGCCTTTAAAATCATTTTATAAAGAATGGCACAATTTGGGGTTTATGTTTACCCAACTAAAGCCCTCCCCTGAGAGGACCCCCCCCCCCCGATCACCTGCTCTTTATCCCTCAGAGGAGGGCTCACAGCTATTTATAAAGCCAAGAGAAGTTCTGGGGCAAGATTGCGGCTGAAGAACAGGTCTCTGCCCTGTTCCTGTGTCTCTGTCTCCCCACTGGAGTTGGGAGTCCCCAGCCACAGAGTGGTGGCTTTGCAGCTGCTTCCCTTCTCCATGACGACAGCAGGGCTGGAGGGCAGGGTCAAGACAATCCTCTGAGGGTCTGTCCTTGGCCCTCTGGCTGACCAGTGTCCAGCCACCCCTGTTTCTCTCATGGTTTCTTGTGATAGAAGACGGCTAGAGCTGGGATAGAGTTTGGCCCCACCCACCCCCGGCCTGAGGTTGGTGGACTGGGGCACCGTGGAAATGTCCTGGGGCCCCTCAGGATTGGAACTCTTCCCTGAGGCCACTAAGTTCTTCCGATATGTGACCTCACGGAAGACAGAGATCGCGTCAGATTAAATGTGACCGTAGAGCTGCGTAATTGCAGGTTGAGTCTGTGTTTCACCTGTATATGGACGTGTGTCTCTGATCAGATTTGTGCTAACCCCTCAAGTCTATTTTTAAAGTGCACATAAGAGGTTTGAGTTCTAACTCTCTCTCTCTGTCTTTGATGCTCTTGGCCTTCATTGTACCCTATCCCTATGCCCAAATCCCATAAAAAAATTATCCCCAGTCCCTTACCCCTGTCCCATCCCTACCCTCCACATATCCAGTAGTTTTTAGACCCCAGGGAAAGGGCAGGGTGCCCAAACACTTGCTTGCTGAGCTGGGAGGAAGGGGGAAGGCAGAAAATCTAGACATCCAGATTCATGTTATATACAGGTCCTCCTGGGCTTCAGCACTGGTCTCTGAGCTTGCTGCATCTCCCCCCACCGCTGAAGCCCACAGGGGAACGCAATGAGGTATTTCAAAGGCCTAGTCTTAGCTTCTGAGCCCAGAGTTGAGTTCTGTTCACCCAGGGTGTCCTGGATCTCCATGTTGTCCTGTGGACACCTTTGTCCTCCTAGAGGTCCTTATATCCCACCCCAGGCCTCCCAGAAGCTGGGGGTGACACGGCATGGGAAAGGAGACAGAACACAGCTGAGGCTGGAGTTGGTGCTCCTCCATCCCCGCCCCGTGGCTCTTGGCTCACTACCAGGTAGGCCTGTGGGCAGAAAACCAGTCTCCGTATTTGCTCACCCCCAAAGAACAGGCAGGGACCACCCTCCAGGGGGCACAAGAAAGGAAAAGGCCGAGGGTGGGAGGGGTCCAGGGAGGTAGGCCAGCAGGCTCCAGGGAAGGGAAAGGAGTCCCTCCTCCAGGTCACTCAGACAGCCCCTCAGGTGACTCCATTTCAGTGCTGAAGAGTTCCTTGTAGAGTGGGGGGAAAGCAGCTTGGACCACAATGGGGTGGAGATGCTGGAAGGTTTGCAGCTTTTCCACATGCTGGCTGCAGAGGCTCCGAAGCTTCCCCTTGGGTGGTAGCTGGAGATGGATTAACGGGAAAGGAGGGTAAGTGCTTCAGTTCTCTCGCCAGAGCAAAGAGGTCATCTAGTCCTTTCTGGACTGGGGTAACCCTCCTTGCTTTGTGGGCACTTGTGGGACAGCCAGATCCCATTGGTAGGGGGGTACATGTTTAGGAAACTAGAGGCTAGTGAGAGCTGATGCATGCATGACAGGTGCATGTTTTCTGAGGGAAACCCCCAAACCATGTTCCTGATACTCCTAAAGCAAACCCTGTTAAAGACTCTCTAATTCACACTTCACGTTCTTATAATAGTGAAATTCTGTGACTCTCTGTGTTATATGCTGTCACATGCCTCTTTGCCTTTGTTGATGCTGTTCCTTCACCTGGAATGCCTTTCCAGTTCTTCGCTTGGCTAATTCTTACTCACCTTCAAGTATCACCTCCTCCGGAAATATTTCCCTAACTAACCCCCTGGATTAAGGCCCCTTCTTTTGGGCTTCCCTCTGGGCAGCAGTTAAACTTCATTTTAGGAAAATGATCCAACTTGTCTGCCTTCCCACCCTAGGTTTAAACTCCTTGGGTAGGGTCCCTCTCGCTCTCTGTATCCTCTGTACTATAGTGATGCTTGGCACATGGTAAATGCTCAGTAACTCTCTGTTTGAACTGAACAATTTCCCAAGCAGGTACCCAACACTGCCAGCACTCAGCCAGGGGGGAAATGAAAAAGGCCAAGACCCCTGAGGAGACAGAGGCAGGGAGGCCTCACTGGAGAAAGGCTGAGAAAACGATTTATCTTCTGCACTTTCCTCTATAACCAAGGGAGGCTTAGAAATACCTCTCACCAGCTACCACCCCACATCTCCCCAGCTTAGTGTCCTAGGAAAGGGGCAGTCAGGGAAAAACAGGCAGCACGGGGTCCCTCGATATCTCAGGAATTCACCCTCTTCACTTTTATTGGTTTACTTTGGGCTGTTGCAATAGCTTCAATCGTTCATTCATTCAAGAAGTATTTGCTGAGAACCTACTCAGCCAGGCACTGTGATGGGTTGTGGTGATACATCAGTGAGTTAAATAAAATAAAATACCTACCTTTGTTAAATGTATATTCTAGTGAGGGAGCCAGAAAACAAATTTACAAAATGTCAGAAAATTTCTTTAAAGAACAATAAAGCAGGGCGAGGAGTAGAGGGCTTTTGTTGGTGGTTGGGGCGGGGGGGGGGGGGGGGTGGTGTCAGGGAACACCTCTCTAGAATGAAGGGATGAAGCAAGCCATTTGGAAAACTAGGGGAATAACCTTTCGGGCAGCTGGAACAGCAGGTACAAAAGCCCTGAGATGCCACTGTGTGTGATGTGTTCAAGGAATAGAAAGGAGGCTAGCATTGTTGGAACAGGTGATTGAAAGGGTCGTGGAAGGAGATGAGGTGAGCAAAGAAGTCAGGGGTCACATCACAAGGCGGTGGGGCAGGACACAGACTCTAGATTTGATTCTCAGCATGATGGGCAGCTATAGGAGGACTGAGAACAGCGCTGTGTGGCTACTGTAAGACAGACAAGGGTGGAGCAGAGGTCCAATTAGCAGGGCTCTAATAGTCCAAGTGAGGACTGACAGCTAGGGCGTGACAGTGGGAGGTGATGCATTCTGAAGGTGGATCCAACCAGATTGCTTTCCAACTGCTCTCCCAGGTTCCAGTCTCTCCTCCTTCTAGTCTATCCTACCAGACTTGAAATTCTTTAGGGCAGAGACTCTTGTTTAAGTCATTTCTGTATCCTCAGCACCTGGTACTGTGCCTGGCACACAGCAAAGGCCTGTTGCTTGAATGATTACATAAATGGGTCCTTTACATTGGTTCCAAATTAAATTGCCTAAATAAGAGCTCTGATGATACAATTCTTCTACCCTTTGGGGCTCCCCATTGCCCAGAAATAAAGCCTTAACTCTTTAATATGGCATTGAAAGTCCTCTGGGATTTGCTACCTGACCTAATTTTTGAGCTTATCTTCTGCTACTCCCCTGCTTCATCAGTCTATCCCAGCTTCTGATCTTATACTTCAGTCAAAATGTCACCTGAGCTATTCTCCATAGATGCACTATTTTGTGTCCTTATTTCTGCTCATATTGTCCCCTAAGCCCAGAATGCCTGCCCCATAGCCATGAATATCTGTTAAAATCTTACGTATTTCATGGCCTAGTCTAAATGCCACCTTCTCTAGAAAGCATTTATGATCCACTCCTTTTACTCCCAAATTATTTTTAATCCCTTTTTGATGCTCTCATCACCCTTCCCCAGTCTCTCTTATTAAAGTAATATATAAGGGCCACAGGGATACAGTGGAAAGAGCACTGGGATTAAATCTTGCTTTTATCACTTACCAATTGTGTAAACTTGGACAAGTCACTTAAGTCTCCTTATTGCTACATGGGGACTTTAATACCTGTCCTATTGACTGAGTTGCCCCTGGAAGAGACAGCCTATCTGTGACAGCACATTGTTAATTGCGTTATTATTATATCACGGATCACCTTCTCCTCTACATGAGAGTTGTTGGTACACAAGTCTCTTCTTCAAACCAGGTTACAAACTCTTGGTGGGGACAAGAATGCATCTTGTATCTTTCCATTCCACAGTGCCTGGTACAAGCAGGTGCTGGGTAAGTGCTGGCTGTATTAAACTGAATTGTTCCCTGGAGGTCCCTCCCAATTCCAGGCTCTCTAACTTTCCATCGTCACGCACATAGAAGTGACTGCTCATCGCCCTAGTTCCCACTGCTGTTGCAAGCTCTCTAACACAATAGGGCCCTCAAGCTCTTCCTCCTCTGGACCCTCAAACCCTGGCCCTCACAAGCCCTGACGTCACAGATCTGCGACTGGGCCTGACCTCTTGTACCCCAGGGACTGCTCCTACCTTTGCCAGGATGCCTTGGCGATGAGTCTTGCAGAGATGGTGATGAAAGGCCATTTCCAGATTGTACTGCAGCTGTTCTACCTTCCTTTTCTCTTGGAGTCCTGGCCGGTCTGAAGGAGGGGATGGGACCATAGTGAGAACAAGAAAGAACATGGACATTAACTTCCACCTAAAGGGTGTATCATTTTGGACATCTGTGCTTGATAGAGGCCTTCTCAGCTGAGCACGTGTGTGTGTATGTGTGGGTGTGTGTGTCTTGGTTTGATAATGGTAAGCTCTGAGGCTATGGTCTTGGCTAGCTGTTAACAAGGAAAACCGGGGAGAGATGAAAGGGGTGAGAACTTCCAAGCTTCCTTCTCCCTTGTACCCTGACATTTCACATAGCCCGTTCAGTGCTAGGAATTAGGATTCTACTGTTGCAAAAAAAAAAAGGTTGGAAAAGAGCCCCCCACCCCCTGGCCAAAAATGGCCCCAGACGGGAGACGGCCTTCTTGAAGCCACCTAGGCCAGCATCAAGGCCTCTGCAGTAGTCTGTAGTTAACTTCAACATACAAACCACCTTTTGCTTTGGCTCCATAAAATAGCCAGAAGTCGTGTTTAGTTCTGTATTCATTGGCAGAGCCAGAAGATTGATAATCGTTTTTTTTTTTTAAGATGGTGCCTGAGCTGACATCTGTTGCCAATCTTTTTTTTCCTTCTTCTCCCCAAAGCCCCCCAGTCCATAGTTGTATATTCTAGTTGTAGGTCCTTCTAGTTGTGGCATGTGGGATGCCACCTCAGCATGGCTTGATGAGTGGTGCCATGTCCGCGCCCAGGATCCTAACTGGCGGAACCCTTGGCCACTGAAGCAGAGCGTGTGAACTTAACCATTCAGCCACAGGGCCTGCCCCACAAGACTGATAACCTGGACTTGCAAACTCAGGTTAGCAGCTGGACCCATTTCCCAGGGTTCTCTGAATACTTTAGCATTCAGCTGGCTCAGCCCAGCCTACTCCATTCTCATGGAGTGGATGTCCAGAGTCCTGCCATAATGGCATACAGTCTTAAAATTAGTGCACACACAGCAGCGATTCTCAAGCTTGGTGGCACATTACAATCACCTGCAGGAGGCAGATAAAAATTCTGGTGCTCTGGCTGCTCAATGACCTCGGAGACTCTGGGTGTGGGACCCAGACAGCAATCTTTTCTAAAGCTCCCCAGGTGATCCTGATGTGCGGCCTCAAGGGAATCACTGACCTGGACTCACGGCAGACTAATTTCTCTCCAGGAGATGGCTCACTTCCTCTCCTCCTCACGTCTCCCCTCTCCTTCAGCCCCATCTGTGCTGCTCTTTTCCCTCTCTCAGGCTCCTCTGAATCTTCATTTTCACTCATTTTATTTTACAGCAACATTGGGTGGGGCTCATTCTTCTCTTTAAAGCAATTTCCCAGATTTAACCACATCTGAACGTCCAGACTCTTCAGTATCAGTTGCACCCCCACCACCTGAATGTCCTCTACCCAAGCCCAGCGGCACTCACTGGCGTTGATGAGGACAAGGGCTGTGTAGAGGGCAATCTCATCCTCGGAAAAGCGTAAGGCACTCAGGGAGCGGGAGAAGTCGAAGATGGAGCTGATGAGCTCACTGCAGCCTGATGGAGTGGAAATTAAAGAATGAGCAAGGTGGGTGAGGCCATGGTGCCCAAGGACAGCTGCCCTCTTGGTGTTTGGAGCTGAGGGGGCAATCTGCCTTGAAAAGAGGGTGCCCTGGGTCTTGAAGCTTTAGATGGGGTTGGCATCTGACTCTTTCATTTCCCCCTGCCCCTCACCCAAGGCTCGGAACAGCTCCATGCCACCGTATTTGCCTTCAAAAAAGACTGTGTGGTTGTCGGCGTTGTAGGCCCGGCACATCCTGACAAGCACCACTTCCATTGCTCCTGGGGAGTGGGGAAAAAAGGTGCAGGCATGGTGTCAAGCAAAGCCAGGAATCCGTCTCTGTCCCCTCATGGTCCTGGTTTCCTTACGCCACCTCCCTTCACTCAGCCCTGCCCCATTCCATGCTCTGTCCCCCCTCCCCTTAGGCCTGCCCACAGTCCCTGGGCACCTGCTTTGAGTAGCACGATCTGGTCATTCTGACAGAGCTCCATAAAGCCTGAGAGCCTCTTAGCAAACTCCACCACATACTGAATGGCCTCGGTGAGGCGGTGGGCACAGCGTTCCCACATCTCCCACATTGACTGCAGGGAAGAAAGAGGGTCCCACTGTAGCCCTCTTCATGACCTCTGACCCTCCCAAGCCCCTGGAAGCCCAGACTGATAAACTGCAGTGGGTAGGTTCTGAACTCCTACATTCTCAACACTGGTGTTTTTAGCCTATTCGTAGCACAAGTGCAAACTCGGGGTCAATTCCCTCCATTTGGTCACACTTACTGAGCACCGACTAGCCACTGGCACTGAATTAGGGGTCATGGGGGAAGAAAAACGTTTGAGATACAGCTTTTCCCTCAAAGAGTTTGCATCTTATTGAGGTTGAAAAGGACATACTGACCCCCCCGACCCGCCAAAGGACATATCCAAAGTTCTTAATAACCTAGAGAAGCAAAAGTTCAGCACCAAATGAGTGTTTTTAGAGCAGGTGGTGTTGTCGGAGTGATAGAAGAGAGAGAAGCTTGAAGGATCTGCATTTGCCTTTGGCTCCACTACTCTGTGACTGGGTAAGTCTATTCACCCTCTGAGTTCGGTTTCCTGGTCTGTTAAAAATAGAAAAAAAATGCCAACCTCATGGGTTCGTTGTTGTAAGGTTGAGGAAAACTTATGTAAAGCATTTAGCACAGTGCCTGGCACAAAGAAGGGGTGTTTAACAAACGGTGATGAGGATTCTGACTATTGTTATCATCAACAGAGGAGGAGAAAGTAGAGTACACCAAGGCCTGGGTGGTGGAGGAGGCAGGATGAAGGCTGGGTAAAATGCTAATAGGGGCTAAGGGAAAGCTCTCATCCATCTGCTAGGGTGTGGATACAAAACCCCCCATGCTTGAAAGTGGGTACACACACTTGTTGTGTCTATCTGTGATACCCTGCCTCACCCCAGCCCACCTGTGTGCGTAGGTGGCCATCTCTGGACTCTGCCAGTGGTGGCGGGATGTCCTCCCTTCCCGGCATGGTCTCCTGGCCTCACCTTCCTCTGGTAGCTGGCCACCTCCTCCCGGGAGAAGATGTTGGAGCGCTGCCGTAGCAGGTCCTCCAGCCGCAGCTGACACGTCTCTCGGTAGGACTTACACACGTTCTGTACCAAGTGCTCTGGGGCCAGAGGAGGAAGGCACTGGCTCGATCTTAGCCAGCTCCTACCCTACCCGTACAGAGGGCATTCCTCTGCCTGGACCCCTCAACTCCCTTGGGTTCATGTTTGGTTTACAGCGGGTGCTGACTAGGGCCCCTCTCTTGGAAGCCCCTCCCTTATCTTCCCCACCCTGTCCACCTCCCCAGCGGCTTACCAGTCTCCGTCAGGGAAGCATAAGGTGCCTCTGTGGTGCTGCGGAAACCGGGGCTGCAGTAGCTGTCCGGGCCCTGTCTGGGTTCCCCAAGCCCAGGATGCCTGGGTTCCTCAAAATGAAGTCCACATCTATTGGGGGTCAGCTGGCTGCCCGTGCTATAGAAGCTCTCTCTGCCCTCAGCCTTGCCCCGCTCAGGGCTGTACTCGAGGTGGTATGAGGCCCCATTGAGACCGGCCTTGGCCAAGCTATTGGAGTAGGAAGGCCCAGAGCCTGGGGCTCTCAGGAGGCCAGGGGGACAGGCAGAGGCCTCAGGCAGGTCAGGCGAGGAGCCCAAGGGCAGCTGCCCATCCGGGAGCCCCAAGGTGCAGGGGAGGGGGTCTGCTCCTTGGCCTCCTTCAGGAGGGGTCTTGGCTGCTTGTTCCCGTTGCTGCTGCTGCTGCTGCTGCAGTTGCTTCTGCACTTCGGCATGCAGGCTGTCCCTTTGCTTCTTGGACATGCGGCCGAACTTGACAGCTGAACGTGGTCGGGGAATCAGGAGTTTTTGTGGCAGGAGGACAAAGGACCGGGCAGGGTCAAAAGGCATTTCGGTTGTTACAGGATTAACTTGCTGCTGCCCGCATAGCTGGCTCCAAGCAGAGCTTCTCCACTCTTGCCTGAGAACCTCCCTTCAGGGGACTTTTGTTCAGACCCCTCCCACCTCTCGCTCTTGTTGGCTCTGGGCTCTATCCAGCCCAGCTGTTTCAGTCTCCTGAGCAAACCTCTCCCAGCTCCAAACCAGCATCTAAGAGTGGCAGAATTCCAGTAATGAGTCTGGACTGAGGATTCTGGCCTCCTGATATTGGGGGTGGGGGCGGTCGAGTAGGGGGCCTCAAGCTGTATTGGGGTCACCTCGCCTGTCTAGGAGGGTCGGAGGAAGAGGAGAGCCGAGAACACAGGTCTCCCTGTGGTCAGGCCTGCAGGCTCCCTGGTGACCTAGATACTCACCACAGCCCAACCCAGGCTCCGCGGCTTGTTTCTAACATCCTCTTCTGCTCTCTCTTTCCTGCCTTTTCACTCCCCCCACCACCCCTCCCAGGTGTGGGGGCACAGCCCCTCGCTCCGCCTGCCCCTTTGCACCCCGGCGTGTTTCCTTTCACTCTGTTATTTTGGGCACTGAAAAGTGCTGACAGGCACCTTCTGGCTCCTCATCACCTCGTGCCTCCCCCAGCCCCACCCTGGGCTCCTTCTGTGGTGGGGGGTAGTGTAGGATGGGGGGCTGCAAGGAGGTGGTGGGTGAGGAAGGTGGAGAAAGGCACCAGGCACAGCAGCCCTCCCCACCTCATGCCTTCTGGGTTGTTCTCAGGCCAATCCTGGTTCCATTCCCACCACAGTCCTGTGTCTGAAGATGGGAATGGAGAGCAAGAAGGGAGATGGAGCTAGAACTAGGGCAATGAGACAGGCGGGAAGATGTGGAGCCTGGGCCGGAGGGGAGTGGAGTGAGGAGAATCCATTCTGAGGAAGAAGAAAATGAAGAATCTGGGACATCGGGAAAAGGAGGGTTGTTTTAGTAGAGCCTAGAGTTGGGAACTGAAGATCTCTGATGAAATCAGCCTGCCTGCGCGCACAGTGGACAGTGGAAGAGACAAGGGCCCATTAGAGCGAGGGCTGGAGAGCAGACTGCTGGAAGGGCCTTTTTACAGGTTAACCCCTGTCTAGCACAGCTGGGCAGCTTGCTCCTCTGGAGACTCCAGGGAAACCCCAGGGGGCTGCCCACTTGGCCTCACCATCTCGGGACATGCCCAGGGCCAGGCACTTCTGCAGGCGGCAGTGCTGGCATCGGTTCCGGCTGGTGCGGTCGATGGGGCAGTTCTGCTGACGGGTGCAAGAGTAGGCCACGTTACACTGCTGGCTCCGGCGGAAGAAGCCCTGGGGAAGGCAGGTGGAGACCAAGGCTGCTGATCACAAGCTCTGGTCCCAGCTTTTTCAGATCCTACCACCTGTCAGTTTTCTCTCCTCCATTCCTTAGCATGGTTGCAATGTGTCCAGCAATCACTTTCCCAGCTTAAGACAAGGTCCTCCTGTGTGCAGGGCCCTCCAGGTAAGGTACCGCCCTGGCAGCTCCCTAGCTGCCTCAGGAGACCATCCCTGGGGTCAGAACCAAGGCCACTGGGCCCTTCTCCTCATCTCTGAAGGGACTGTGTATGTGCGTGCACTCACCTTGCACCCCTCACAGGTGATAACCCCGTAGTGGATACCAGACGACTTGTCCCCACAGATTTTGCAAGGGATCACTTCGATTTGTGCTGGAAGAGAGAAATAGCAGGAGGTCAGCCGGAACCGTTTCTGCACCCAACCCGGTGTACCTGGGCAGCAGATACAGAGACATGGCGCTTCCCCTGCTTCCCTACCCCGCTCCAGCTTGCTGTTTCCCTCTTGCAAAATGAAAGAAGTGATGTGCCAAATGCTGCTCAGCAAAGGATCTGTGGAGGCCGTTTTTTTGTTTTGCGGAGTGGCTAGGAGTTGTATCAGCTCTATGGGGGCAGAAAAGCAGCTGCAGAGGCCACCTGCTCAGCCCTTCAAGTTGAAAAGCTCCAGTTGCCTCCCTCCCGCCTGGGGACCTAGGAGTCCTCACTGCTTCAGAACACCTGCTTCCCGCCAAGGGGGCTTCCTCTGGGCTTTCCCACCCCCGACCCCGGGGCTTGGCTTTCATGGGCAGAGTGTTGGGCATGGCGGGAAGATGTGCACCAGGCAAGAGGCACCTGGGGGCCAGGTAGAGAGGACAGCCATCCTCAGCCAGGCAGTGAAGGCTCTGTGAAGCAGGGGCTGCAACAGAGACCAGAGGCCAAGGGGTCAGGGTCCTCAGAACAGAGCCAGAGAGGGTAGGGACAAGCCAGAGATGGAGCCCAGGAGAGTGGGGCTCAACAAGCCAGCTCTGCTGGATGCCTGAGAGCCAGAGAGAAGGTCAAACAGGGCTCCTGGGCCCTTGGCCCCAGAGCAGAGAGAGCTTGGCTGTGTGTGTGTCAGCACGTAAGAGCATGTATGCTTATGTGGGTGGGAGGGCCACTGCATCCAACTCTAGGTGCACCAGTTGTGAATGTTAGTGCTGGCTGGGACTAGAGACGGTCCTGTTCAACCTCTTTCCCATCCTTTATAGATGAAGGAATAGGCCAGATGAGGAAAGGTGGTTGGCCTAGGTTCACACAGCTAGTTTACTCCAGAGCTGGGTCTATATCCCATTGCCTCTGAGCTTTCCATTATGCTGTTCCATGTACATGACTTTTGGTGTATACACATCAGTGGGCCTGTGTGAAGGTATGTTTGTGTGTGTACATATGCAAGGCACATGTGATCTGTGAGCCAAGGGGCATGTGCAGCCAGCGTGCACAGAAGCGTCTTTGTATGTTAGTGTTTGTTCACTGGGCACTAGGAAGCCCCCCTCCCATTGAGCTCATTGGCCCCTCTGCCTGCCCCACTCCCTTCACAGAGGTTGGCTGCTGGCCTCAGGTTCATCTCCCCCCTTTGCTTTGTGCCTGTCAAGGCCCACAGCTCTCTACTGAGGTTCAGGGAGCAGCAGTTGCCCTTGCCCCAGCCCATCTTTGAAGGGGAGTTGGGCAGAGCTGGGGTCCCTGCTACTTCGGGGGTTTTTGTCACCCCCCAGGGCATATGGGTTTCTTCTCTGCCATCACTGACCTTCTGCCTCCCTTCCGAGGGGGGAGGCCTGGGGTGGAACAGGCAGTAAAAGTGGTCTAAGACCTCAGCCCCTTCTCATCTCTGACAGGTCTCCCACCCATCTCCCGTCCCCAGGGTCAGCCTGCCCGTAGGATGAATCCAGATTCCTGTGAGCTCACTTCTGGCCTAGGCCTGGACACTGGTCATGTGTAAGGCCTGCTGATGTGAGATGGGGAGGGTGACCACGGCTTGCCCACCACTCCCCAAAATATTCTTTCCATCATCCTTAAACCATCACCCCCTCAGGCCAGCCTTGAGCTGAGTCAGAGTAAGCAGTTGCCTCCTCATGGGGGACAGGGCCCATGGGTGTCTGCAATTCCTCCATTAGAACTCGATTCTCTTGCCCACCCCAGCCCCACTTGCCTGCCCAACACCCACACAGTAAGCTGTGATCAGCCAGGACAGAGGGCAAGTGAGCTTTTCAGATTCTTTCCAGTAAATTAAGAGCAGATTGGAATGGGGGCCGGCCCGGTGGTGTAGAGGTTAAGTTCGTGCACTCCACTTTGGCAGCCCAGGGTTCATAGATTCAGATCCTGGTGCGGACCTACACGTTGCTCATAAGTCATGCTGTGGCGGCATCCCACATACAAAAAGTAGAGGAAGATTGGCACAGATGTTAGCTCAGGGACAATCTTCCTCAAGTAAAAAGAGGAAGATTGGCAACAGATGTTAGCTCAGGACAAATCTTCCTCACCAAAAAAAAAAAAAAAGAAAAGAAAGAAAGAAAGGAAAAAAGAGAGCAGATTGGGATGCATGGAGGGGAAAAAAGAACAAGAGGAGATTGGGTACCTGGAACAGTGGAAAAGGGACAGAATTAAATGTAGGGGCACCTGCACGTCAAGTCACTTAGACTCCCTAGGCCTCAGTTCCCTTGTCAGTAAAACCAAGGTAAAAATACTATTGCCTGTCCATGGGGTGAGTGTAGGTAGCACAGTAGTTAGATGATATCACCTGTAGAAAGCACTGTGCAAGAGGTAAAGCTCTATGTAGAAAGCTGGGTAAAGCTAGTTACTACTGAGCAGAGCTGAGGGCAAAGAAACCCAGCGGGCATTTGAGGCCCAATAGAAGTCTGCTCTTGCCTCAACACCTTCCCCTCTAACACTGTGGTATCTCTCTCCTCAGTGGCCCTAAGCCCAGAGAGGGGAGAAACCAACGTGGGTCACCCAAAAAAGTAAGCGGGAAGAAGATTAGGCCAAGCCACAGTGGGAACTCGGGCTCCAGCCCAGCAGTCAACCACAGGCCTCCCTGCCTCTTCCCTTCTCCAAGAACCACATCCGTGTGCGTGTGTGCGCTGACCACACGAGTGACCCATACACATCTCCTGCCCTACGCCTGACCCACGGCTGGTCCCGGCCCTAGGAACTTCACAACAGTGACGCCAAGACCTTGCCCTTCTCATAGGATCATGTGGCCAGCCAGGGACCCCCTTTACAAATACTCGTGTTTAGGGGGAGTTTCGACCCCAGCCACAAGGCCAGCCATTCGCCCACGCTCCCCAAACATAGTCCAAGACAGAGGTACGCAGAAGCAGGCATGTAGAGGTAGAGGTCCCCATCTGGAGGGTCAGGCCCTCTAGCCTTGAGCTAGAGACACCAAGAGGTTCAGGACCAGGAGACAACAGACTTAGATCCAGAGATGGACAGACAACTGCAGAAACACAGAAAACCCCACACTCGTGTCCTGGCCCCATGCCCAACCGCTGACCCCGTCAGCACTGTCAGGCCCACTTATCCTACTCCTCCCTCCTTCCCCTGCCACCTGTACCCCCGTCAATGCCATCTACTCAAAACCTCAAAGAGAAAGCACCGGTGCGCAGGAGTGTGACTTGTGGAGGAAGGGAGGGGAGAGAACGGGAAGGGGACTGGCAGAGGTGGCGGTGGGGTGAGCAGGAGCTGAAAAACACCTCGGATACCTCACCTTCAAAACCTCCCCCCTGAGCCACGCCCTGAAGCAGCAGGTGGTGGGAACCCAGATTGGGGAGGGGGAGCTGAGTAATCACAGGATTACTCAAACTGTTGCCTGGGAGCCTGGCCTGCCAGGAACTTACCATCTAAGGGCCTGCCGGTGCCAGGAACTAGAACCAAGCAAAGGTCAGGAACCTCTAGGCCAGCCCCTGCAGCACAGCTCCCACACTCTGCCCGCTCCCTCACCCGCTGCCTTGCCTCTGGGAGATCTTTGTCCCTCACCTGCTGCTCTCTCCCTGTAGCTCTCTCCCAGGGCCCATCAGAGGAAACGCTCTAATTCCAGGGAGAGAGAAATGCTCACAGGCACAGGATATCTCCTGAAACCATCCAGCGACTGGATGACTCTAGCCCTTTGGGTCTCAAACAGGATCACTTAGGGATCGTGTTAAAATGCAGGTCCCTACTCGGGAGGTCTGAGGGGGGCCCAGATTCTGTGTTTGAACAAGCTCCTGGTTGGGTCAAACTTGCTGGCCCTCAGGCTACACTTTCTAGTAGCAAGTAGCAAGAACTCAGTCCCTCTTCCTGCTTTTGTGCCAGGCTGCTCCTCTCGGGGATGAGGGTGGGGTGGCAGCTCATTCTTGTGTCTTCCCCGCCATCCCATGTGACCTCTAAAATGTCAATCTGATACAGTACCAGGAAAAGAAAACAAATCTCTTCTGGATTGCTTCAGAAGGATCCCCAGGGAGCTTCCTATGAGCACTTCCTATGTGGGGAAATATGGTAGATGCAAGATAGTCTGTCCTCCCCTCCCTCAAACCTCGTCTAATCTCACCCTTCTCACAGCTGCGAGATTCATTGATAACGCTCTTTGAATGCATCCAGAGCCTGGCCCTGTGCCACCCTAGGAAGCCAGCCCTGGGCCCTGTCCAGGTGACCTACACCACAGAGAGGAAGTGGTAGGAGCAAAGGAGGGGGCCTGCAACCCGGGGGATCTCTCCCCTCAAACCCCAGAACCGTGGCCTGCCCTGGTGGAGAATGGATGCAGACAGGAACCCTGGGGTCCTCGTTCCTCCCGGTGCTCGGTCAGTCAGAGCTGGGCCTTCCATCTCTTCTCTGTCTCCTTTTCTCCAGTGGACATTGATTAAGGAGGAATAATAATGGTAGACGTAGGCATTGGCTGAATTCTTACTCTGAGCCAGGCTTTATATACATTTTTCATTTAATGATCACAACAACCCTGGGAAGTAGGTACTTACTTGTGTTGTCCCCATTTTACAGATGAGAAAACAGTCTAGGAGAGAGTAAGTGGCTTGACTAAGATTACACAGCCAGACGTCGCAGATTTGGCATTTGAACCCAGGTCTCTGTAACTCGAGAGCCAATGTCCTTGACCATTAAGCCATATACCCTAGAAGAATAAGATGCCCAAATGCACTGAGGAGGATGGGATAGGGGATAAGGTTCCTGGTTGCAGGGAAAAGTGTGAAGTGAGGCGGGTGGGCTCAGAACAGAATTCAGGAAGGACACCCATGGAAAAAAAAGCCAGGACTCATGTCTAATATAAAGATCCAGAGACATTATTCCCTCTGTCCCAACTCTTCCTCTGTGGCGCCAGCCTCCTGCTGCCTTTACCCACTTCTGGGGGCCAGGCTTCCAAGGCCAAGGTGGAA